CGATGACGTCATTTTGACGTTTAATGATTTAATGACGTCAGTTTGACATCGATGACGTTATTTTGATGTCGTCACGTCATTTTGACGTTTAATGACGTCATTTGCTACTTGGAGGGATATAAAACCCCCAGGATGTTGCACAACATGTTGCGCGTATTTAAATTACTGGTGCTTGGAAATATTTTTGTTTCGTCGTCATTTTAATTAATGCTCGATTTCACATCGATGAAATTACATGGTTATATCATTAGCAATCAGCGAGACTATATACTTTCATCCTATATAGTCGAGAATTGTTTCGCGAGATGAAGTAATGAAGACATTATTCCCAGCATTGTTGTTATTTTACGCGAAAATGTGTCGGGCGAACACAGATGGTGATTAAAGGGGCATGCAAATGAAGAAAATGTGTTGCGAAAGATAAATAAAAGTGCCGATATAATCTTCCTTTCATCAGAGGCTTCCTTACTGCAACGTATTCATTCTCCTTCTTAGTCTTTTCAATATTAAATAATATGGCTATTCAAGAAAATGTGTATATTAAATTAAGTATACAAAGAGAACCTCATTATACATTTGCATATAATTTTTATCCATTATATATTAAAAAAATTGATTTTTCAGAAAATTGAATGTTATCTTTACTTGTCAAAAATTTGTCGAAACATTATCTTTTCAATTAGCGATATATCCATAGAGAAGCATAACCCATCTATTGCACATAATTTATCTATTTGATTTATCTATTAAAAATAGATGTTTCAGAAAATAAAACATTTTTTATTTGTCAAAAATTTATTAAGAATTAATAAATTAAATTAAGACATTATTTCTATATGTGTCTTTTTAATTACCGATATACAAAAAAGCATAGAATACATCCGTTGCACATAATTTATATTTTTTATAATATATATTATATATATTTATGTATATATGTATGAATATATATACAATATATAACATATATAATATAAAAAAAATTAATTCGTCAGAAAAATAAAGCATTATTTTTACTTGTCAAAAACTTGTCACATTATTTACTTATCTTTTAAATTCGCGACTATAGCAAATTTTACAGCTTCTCATTAGCCGAAAAATATGCCGATTAATTTAATGCCGCTTGATTTACTGTTTACATGTACCGTTTTTTATATTTTTTTCTCCTCTGCCTCACCATATATTGGTGAATAACGGAATGTTAACGCAACCGTTTCCGCTATAAATGTCAAGCTGGTCCTTCCTTAATCTCGACAATGCTCGTGCTAAATTCGCAAGAGCGTAAAACATGCAAAAACACCTCGCCGTAAAACTTTTTAAGTCTCGACAAAGCATTCTCGTTCTCTTCTACGACTACAATAAAATTATTTGACAGCTCCTGGAATTTTTTTCTCCCGCGCAATGTGCGTTAATCATCCGCGAAATGAATGGCGAAACGTCAATGCCCTCGTAGGAATTTAGAATATTACCGTTTTTAGAAGAAGAAAAACAATTCCCTCTCTCTCGCTTTCAAGGAATGACAGAAACTTTTATTGTGCGACGATTCCCACGATAATGGTGAACCTGGGTGTGCAAATTCTTCTCGTCAAGCCTTTATTAAAGATTCATTTTTTCATCCTTTTCTTCTCATTTAAAATTTTAATTACAAAATTGTATTGTATGTAATTATTTATATATAATTTATATATACATATAAATAAAATTTCATGTAATTATAATTGTATCTACTTGTATCTTCAATTTTTTAAAGCTTTTTATATTTATTAAAAATTAAACCTACATATAAAAATTAAATTTTTAATAAATATAAAAAGCTTAAAAAAAATCGAAAATACAAGTATAGAAAATTAAATTTATATTACATATAAATTATATTTTTAATAAATATAAAAAGCTTGAAAAAAAATCGAAAATACAAGCATAGAAAATTAAATTTATATATACATATAAATTATATTTTTAATAAACATAAAAAGCTTTTAGTGCAAATTCTTCTCTTTCGTAGGAAAAGACTTTTTATTTCTATCTCGCTTAATCGCGATTAAGGAAACTGGAGATCGATACTTGTATCAGGAAGACAAAGAGACTCTATTACGATGAGTTCCAAGCGTTTCTACAAAATCGAGGAAAAAATTGCACGAGTATGGACTTGTCACTGTGTGACAAGTATAACGTGCACTTCCTCGTTCTTGCACCTGTTTACCTTAAGGCGTCGCAAATAGTTGCAAGGGAAGAGAGAGAGAAACTATTTCATGTCTACTCTTTGCATCGAAGCGTTTGCTTGGACACCTGGATCGATCGAAGAAACGCTAGTCAGGCTTGATTTGCATTATTTTATACAGAGTCATCGACTGAAAAAATCGTACAATTTTTTACCGATTTTTCTGTTTAGTTTTCCATTAAATATTCAGTAGAATATAATTTATTAATTTTGGTGGATGGATTTTGCATAGAAATAATAATATTATAAATAATTAATTTAATAATAATAAATAATAATAAATAATGATGATAATATTTTAATAATAAAAAATAATAATTATTTATTATTATTATTACTATTATTATTATTTTAAAATAAAAGTAATAATAATAAAAAATAAATATAATAAAAATAATAAAAAATAAAGATAATAATAAATAAATATAATAAAAATAATAATAATAAAATAAATAATATTTACTGATAATAAAAAACATTGGAACGTGTTAAAGGAAATTTTATAAGATCAAAAATTAATAAATAATTTTGAAAAAGAAAAGAAAAGGAAATTTATTTATTCTACAACATGAATGCAAATTGCAACATTTTTTGAACCCGTATAAATGATACTCCGGTTCTTATCCAGTAGCCGTGCGTGTCTGGAAGACTATTCCGCGGACAGGTCTTGCAACGTCTTTGTTAATATATTCCATATCGATGATGATCGATTCCTCCGTCCAATCACGAAGCTGTCCTCCTGTTCGCTTTCGTGGTGACAATCTCGAAAAAAAATTTCCGCCGCGAGCTGCACGTGCATAAAACCGGATCGGTCTTCTTGTCGAGCGAGAAGCTCCGTAATTATGTAATTACTGTCCTTTTTTTCTTCGCGTTTTTGCAATATCTTCACCGTTTATACCGATTTTTTTCAGCTTAAGAGTGAGAATGTTACTCCCGATATCCCATTGGCGTAAAACTACTCTGCTACCCCTCCGATATTCATTGACGTAACTATTGCTTGGGCAAAAAGTTTTCTTATCATAAATGCTTTATATCTGAAATATTATAATTAAATAGTGCAGAATGGCGGTAATTTTTTCAATGACATTAACTTTAATTTTTCTGCATTTAGAAATTCTTATTTTCATAATTTATTCTTTTAATTAATTAATAATTAATTAAATTCTTTATTAAATTATTTATTATTTAATAAATTAATAATTAATTAATAATTTTGAATTCTTATTTTTATTATTTATTATAATATTGTGATTAATAATTAAAAAATTGATATATTAAAGAAAAATAAATTTTTAGAAAATTAAAACAATTTTTTAAAAAACAACGAAATTTTGTAATAATAAATCAAGCTAAAAACTTAATTTTTAAATAATATAAATATATTTTAAGTCGGCCAATAGGCTCAATTTTTATTTTGCAACATACACATGTTTAAATTTTAATCTTTTTTAAATTTTTAGTATGTATACACTAATGTATTTATATTTTCAACTAATCTTTAGATTTAAAGGTTTATTCACGGAGAGAATTTTTCATTATATTTTACCGCAAAATTCACCACAAATTTTATCATGTTTGATTAATAAGTCGATCATGTTACATTGTAAAATTTATATAAAACATTTTATTTATGTTTATCACTTTCTTGATTCCCATCTATTTTATTTAAAACACTTAAAAAATCACAAGTTTTTAATATTATAATAAGTATATTTTAAAATTATTGAATGTTTACTATTATATTTTGGTAAAATTAATCAAACATATTTTATATCTTATTGTGGTAGATATTAATATTTTTTATTGCGGTAAATATTAACCAGAGACACTCTTATAAAATTGTATACTGTCCCATAATTACCATGATTTTCCGGATAAATTCTAAGATAAACTTTTCTCTGTGTTAAAATTAATAAATTTTTAGATTTAAAGATTTATTTTTTTCTCTTTGTCTTCTCATTTTTTAATTTTTAACAAAAAAATTATATTATATATAATTTATACATATATACATATAAATAAAATTTCATGTAATTATAGCTACTTGATATTTTCAATTTTTAACGCTTTTTATATTTATCAAAAATTAAATTTACATATACATATAAATTATATTTTTAATAAATATAAAAATAAGCTTTAAAAAAATCAAAAATACAAGTAGCGAAAATTAAATTTATATATACGTATAAATTATATTTTTAATATGTCAATATTTATAAAATGTTGCAATTTGCATTCATGTTGTAGAATAAATAAATTTCCTTTTTTTTCCTTTTTAAAATTATTTATTAATTTTTGATCTTATAAAATTTCCTTAACACGTTCCAGTGTTTTTATTATCAGTAAATATTATTTATTTTATTATATTATTTTTATTTTTTATTATTTTTATTATATTTATTTATTATTAGCTTTATTTTTATTATTTTTATTATATTTATTTTTTATTATTATTACTTTTATTTTAAAATAATAATAATAGTAATAATAATAATAAATAATTATTATTTTTATTATTAAAATATTATCATCATTATTTATTATTATTTATTATTATTAAATTAATTATTTATTATATTATTATTTCTATGCAAACTCCATCCACCGAAATTAATGAATTATATTCTACTGAATATTTAATGGAAAACTAAACAGAAAAATCGGTAAAAAATTGTACGATTTTTTAATAAATATAAAAATAAGCTTTAAAAAATCGAATTACAATTACATGAAAAACATTGGCTGGATTTTTGCAACATATATTTTCTTTTTCCAGCTTCGTGCAGGAGTTCGCGTCTCCGCCCGCGGACGGGATCACTTTGTTGCTGGAGACTCTGCGGGGCGTTCAACTGGCCCAGAGCTCGCCGCCGAACTCGGGCCAGACCGGGCCCAGAATCGGCACCAGAAGGGCCGCCCTGGACGAGCTCGGATGCGTGGAGTGTCTGGCCGCGTGCGGCGAACGATGCGCCGATGCGCCGCGGCTATTAGTGCAGGCGCAACCCGGTCTGCTGGCCCTCGCGGTTTGTCTGACCAGTAGTCTGAACCGGTCTCGGGTTCTTGCTCTTCAGGTAACAATCGCCACTTCCGTCCGTCGCGATACCGTTAGATCAAAAAGAACAATTAGAGACTCGCCGTGTCGCGCGAAATGTCAGCGAAATTCTTTGCCTTCTCCTGTCATCGTTCTCCGAACTGTCAAATTCACCACGATGATGTAATCCAATATACATATATATATATACACTGACAAAAATTTATTGAATTCGAATAAGTATTTATCTCAATACTGCCAAAGAAATTATTTATTTGAAACTAATAATATTGATTTGATATGAAAAATATTTAAATTAATATTTATTTATTTCAAATAAATGATTCATTTGGCAGTATTCAAATAAATATTTATTAATTTCATTATTTTTTTTTAGTGTATGAAAAAAATTTCTTTAACAATACAAATATGTATATGTGTATTTGCCACTAAACATATAATTGATTTTAATATAATAATGCTGCAAATATTTTTTTTAATATACATTTTTTATTTCTGCACAATGAGTATTATTTTTTTTCTTCCTTAAAATTCGTAAAATGTTTCTATGTTTTATTTCTGTGATGATTTACGGATTTTAAGAAAGGAAAAAGAAATAATAGTCATAGAGTAAAACATTACATATTTTATTCTATGATAAACTATTTTATAACTTTTTATATTAATAAAATAAATTACATGTACATAATTGATAAATTTAATAGCAGTAATAAGTACAATTATTTATATATTCGCATCTCGATTAATTCTAATTATTTCTAAAAATATACGCGACGATAATAAACACAGTGCTGGAAAAATAATAAGACCGATGGATGCGCTTTTATTTCAAGGAAGAAAAAAAATAATCATCGGAGAAATGAAAGAAGTCAAGTTCGCCTCGTGGAATAAGAGTTAATGCTCCTGATTCGGTTATTCAGTTACTTTTCCGGGACGCTCGTAAACGCGTGTCTCGAATCAAAGTAATCCACACTCGACCCGTTATATTTCGAGGGTACTCACCGACGAAACCAGTTTTTATCGTTTCATCCACCAAACGTTATTCGGTCGACGTCGTTTTGCCAGCCGCACGTGTTTACGATTTTATTTTTTTTTTCTCTCTTCTCTTAACTTTTCTCAGGATATATCTATCTCTCGCGAGAGAGCGCGGATATCGCGCAGTAAGATCAGGAATGGTAATTACTTCCACGGCACGCGAGCAGGAAGACTTTGCAAAAGCGCGAACGTATATTAGGAGTTTATTCGCGATAATGAAGTTAAAAATAAAAATCACGTCCCTCAAAAGAAAAAAAAATTAAGTAAATTAAGTTGTATGGGATTCTCTCTTTGCACAGCTCTTGACGAAAGTGTGCCAGGCGCCAGGCGGACACGAGGCTGTCTCGGAAGCGGTTTCGACCCTGAGACTTAAATACGGGGAAGGTGGAAGATTTCGATTTTTGGCGGGCGCCCTTTTAGCCCCCAGAGCAGCTATCGCGTTGAGAGTCGCCGGGGTTTCGTTCTTAAACGCCTTCTTAAAATCCGCCCCTCGCACACAAACCAGATTGTATATTCAGGTGAGAGCATTCGTCATCATTAGACAAGAAATAAATGTCACTCGATTTTCGTCATATATATTTGTTTCTATTTTTCTATTTATTTATATATAATAGATTTAAAGACGATTTTATATAATATATTGTAGTTACAATGTTTATTTATATTAAATAAATTTAAATAATATATACATATACAATTATAATATAAAATATTTATATTATATTATTATATCTTATATATTTTTCATATTTTAATTATATTATATTTATTTATTTATTTACATATATATAAAATATAGAATATATAATATATTAACATATAAAAATATTTATAAGATATTTTTAATATATAGTATATTAATATATGTATTTATAATACATATATATTTTTAATATGTAATTAGGATAAAAAATAGAAAAGAAAAAGAAACATAAGAAATTTTAAAAATGCTATTTTGGATGCTGTTTTTCTGCTTTACCGACTTTAAGTTAGGTTAGGTTCACTTTTTATTGAATATACAGATTGAAAAATCCTCCACAATGAAAGTATATTATTCTTCTGTATTATTCTTTCATGTCATCTCTATTGGGAGTGCCATATATTATGCACAAATAAACTGCAGAAATTTTGTATTAAATAAGTATTGTTACGAGCTGATGCAAGAAGTCGATAAAAAAACTGTAATTTTTTAACTTTTTTTGTTTTTTTATACGAAATTATAGCGCTCCCCATTCATTACTATCAATACTTTAATTGTGGAGAAGGGTTTTTCTTGTATTGCCAATAAAAAGAAAAGCCCTTGAACTCAAAGTCGGTAAAACAGTCATGGTCAGCATCCCCTTAACTCGAAATATTTGGCTTTCCTTTAGGCTGAAGCCTGCGAAGCTGGCCTAGAGCCGCAGGTACTTCACGAATGGCTGAAGGAGTTTGACGGGCGCGAGGAGGACACTCTGACCGATTTACTGCACAAGGAAATCCAAAAGTGGACGCACAACTGCGTGGACGTGGACGCTCTGCAGCGCAGGATGATGCGCGCGGAGGAAACCTGCAGGATCCTCAGTAAAAAGGTATCGCTCCTGCAGATGCAGCTTGAGAAGCAGAACGAGTGTAATAACCTGGAGGAGCGAAATAACAAATCCGGGACGACGATCCTAAACACCATCAAAAGTCAGAAGGTATCCTCGAACGGGGAGGACGAGGGTATCAGCTCCTCGGAGAGATCCAGCAGCCCCGAGGACCCGAAGCAGCACCAGGGGAAGGTTCTGAATCGGCAGAAGACCTCGCCTACCCAGAGCAACGATCAGGAAACCACGATAGACGACGTGATCGAGGAGCTCAGGATCATTGTGAAGGACGCCGAGGAGGAGTTCAGTGAGAAGACTCAGCAGGAGCTGAATCGTCGCGATCAGGAGACGATCCATAACGAGCAGGAATCGCCGAAAGCCAAATTATATAGATCCAATTCCAAGATCTCGTTGAACAACTCCGAGAGCTACGTCTACGAGAAGATATCCAAGAGGGACCAGTATCGTCCCGGCTCGAACGCGTCCCAGAATCAGACCAAGGACGAGCAGGTGACGTATTTCGGCAACGATCAGGATTACAGCACGGACTCGAGCGGCGGGAAAAGGCCTAACTCCTCCGGTGGGCCGCGAAAGACCTCCAAATCGTCGATGGAGGGTAGCGTGAAAATCATCGTCAAGGGACCGGACGTGGAGGAAGCGATAATTCCGGCCATTCTGCATCCCCAACCGCCCAGAAGAGCCCCACCCTGCTTATCCGTCATCATGGCGGCCAGACACTGCGACCTCGTGGAAACCTACAACTCCCACGACGAGGAACTCGAGGAGGAGACCTTGGGCGACGGCAGCGACTCTCTTCTGAGCGCTTCCAGGCTCAAGTACAACGGCAAGCATCATCATCAGCTCTACGAGGGACAAGTTAGAAGTGTCAACGCGACTCAGCAGCCGCAGAAGTCAGAGAAGAGCGAGGCTGCCAAGTTCGAGAAGGGCAGCGACTTGGATGAGAGCGAGAACACGAAGAACGGAAAGGTCGGAAGGGGCTACGAGACCCCGAAGAGGATCCTGGCGGGCATCGAGCCCAGACAAATCGACGTTTACAGACCAGGGTTGGTGGAGAACTTGTTTTTTTCATTTTAAACAAAAAATATTGATGTTTTTATTTAAATTATTTTTGTTTAAATTGTTATATATACACCGGGTGTCTCAGACCACCCGTACACCTCATTTTAGACAAAACGTTTTAGACAAAAATGGTGTGGTTTTGAGGGGAACATAAGATAGTGCCGTTGATTTGACCTTGAAAAGTCATTTGAAGGTCACGTGAAGGTCAACTTCAATTTCTAAAATCTAACTACCTATTTTTCATTACATATTCTTATAGGTTACCTCGACAGCTTTCCAAAACCCTATAATAAGTTTAAAAAACAAATTGTTGAAAACATACCAATCCTGTTACAGGCAGTTCGAGTCCGGTGCCAAAGGATTCGAGGTCTCCTCCGGGAAATCCGGGGAGCAGCCGCGCGCGATTCGCCGACACAGTTCCAAGTACCGGAGCGAGATCGAGAAGAGGAAGCACCTGCGTCGCTCGGCGAGCCACGACTACCTGGAGTCGAGTCTGCCGAGTCCGTCATCCGGCAGGGTGGAGTGTCGCATCCGGAAGTTTGAGAGCCTGAACTCGTTCGACGAGCACCGGAGCCTGCAGAATTACGGGGTCAGGTCGAACGGCTCGGAGAACCTCAGCAAACGGGAGCAGCAGGCGTTGCTGCTGACCGACCTCTCCAGATCCAGAATGCGGCGGTCGGAGTCCTTCCACCAGGTGTCCCATCGGGCGAAGCGCGAAGGCGACGGCGACCTCTTCTACATCACGGATTTTAATCTGGAGCCCCTGGTGACCTCGAGGAGGCCGCGCTCGATAGACGCGCCCAAGTCCCCGAATGCGCTGACCAAGTCCCTGGACAGAATCGACGAGGGTCTGGACTCGATGGTCGACATCGTCATCACGCAGGAGCGGAATCAGTGGCTGAGCAAGGGCGGGAGACGTCAGTCGAAGACGTCGACGAAGTCTTGCGACGAGAAGCAACTCGCCAGGTCCAAGTCCATCAGACTCGACGACTTCTGCGGCTCCCTGGAGTCGGGTAAGCAGGCGAAGCGGGAGAGTTTCGCTTCCAATTCGAGGAACCGGCATTCGAAGAACGAGGAGTCCCTGATGTACCACGTGAACAACAAGCAGTTGAGGAACGACGAGTTTTACGAGCAACAGAGGACCCATCGCGAGTGGAATTACCAGAACGAGTTGAATTACGCCAAGAGCAAGGACGATCTGAGCTCCGAGGAGTCGCCGGTGATTTTGTCCAAGGGCATGAGACACAATTCCTTCTGCCAGAAGGATAACAACGTCGGCAAGTTCTCCGGCAGATCGAACGAGTCGGCAATCTTCGCCGGACGAACCTACGACACGTTTGGCCTCGGAAAGAATCGCTTCAACGCCGGCAAATATTCCGGGAATCAACAACAGGTCAAGGAGAGCGTGATCGGCAGAAGAAACACGACCTCCTCGTTGATTGGGAAACGTGGAAAAGTGACAGACGTCGTCTCGGGCCTCTATTGAATTTTCTACCAGGTTCTAAAGAATCAGTATAAAGATGGAAAACATTTTTTTATATAACAAATATATCCCAAATCGCAAACTGACGTCATTAGACGTCAAAAGGAGATAATTCTTTAATTTAAAAACAAAATAACTAATATATCAAGTCATATTTTCAAGTAAAATAATCAAGTAAATATCAAGTAGAATAACAAATTAAATTAATTTGCTAAATTTCAAAGCTCTGTTTTAAAAATCATTTTGAACGCATTCTATTAGAAAAAAGAACGTTAGCTTAAATAAAATTTGACAGTAAAAGAAGTTTCAATATTTTCCTGTAACGAAGCAACAAGATGTTAGCTCTGGCAAATTGTGATTTCGAGAAATTTGTATATAAGAAAGCAGAAAGAGACAAAAATACGAACGATATACATTTCATACATTATTTTTTATCAAATGGAAATCGATTAGAAAGTAAGAACGATTTTGAGTGCAATATTTTTGAGTATTATGTTGTTATATCCTTATGTATAATTATAATATTTACATCGAATATTATGCAACGAATAAATGTTTAATGATAAATAAATTTTGGTGATGGGCTCCTGCGTGCCTTCACTACGTTGTGTGATATGGTTCATTATTAACAATGATTTTACATATGCAACAGTAGTTTAAGCACTAACCCAAGCCTATAATTCTTAGATTTCTATATATTTCATGTATATAATAAATATAAAGACAACAGAAAAATGTATCCTCCTGATTCTTATGAAAATAACATTAAGGTCAAGCAGCAAAGTTATAAACTTCGAAATTACAAAAATTGTTCTTTGCATTGAGGGAAATAAGAATAAAAACTCGTATATGTTAAGAAATGACTTTATTTCTATATCGCTTTTAATTTATTGTTTTGTATGCTTAATATCAAATAAAGAGATTATGTTATATTCTAAAAACTTAATTAAAACTGTTTATCCTGCATTAACGTTAAATAAGATCGAATGAGATTTGATTTCAGCTCGCAGTTGCATGCAACAAGGTGCTCGTAACTTCGCTGAGCTCATGGCAGGAACCACGCGCATTTCTATGAACCATTTCTGAATTATTCAATGCTAAAGGCGCATACAATTTGTCATGGGTTTGTTCCAGAAACTGGTGCGAAAATTTATCTGAAAGTAGAACGCATAAATATATCTCCTGCGTATATCAAAATGTATTTTTTTAAATTTTAATATCATAGTGTTTGACATTTTATATTTATAATTGATATATGTCGATTTCCTTCATCTTAAAATCATTGAAAGCATTTTTTCTAAAAGATTTTTATCATTTTGTAGACATATTACAAGCATGTAAATGTAAATAAAACCACGAGAAAAAAGCTTAATTTGAAAAATCTTATAATTAAAAAAAACTGAAAAAAATTGAAATAAAAAATTTTTATATAAAAGAAATCGACTATATTACAATTATAATAGATGACTAAATTACCTTGAGATGTCGATAATAAGTAAGAGAGCTCTTCTTGAGTCGAAACATACTGAAACTCGTCGCCGCAGGCACCTTTCAAGACGGTAACAACGTCTGATCTTGGATTGTAGAAGTACAAAGCCTGTTTACGGCTACTGAATTCATTAATCAACGTTTTTATCCCCTAAATTTGAAAAGGCAATGTTAAAAATTTTTTAAATGTGACTCACCATGTTATATTTTTAATTTAATTTTATTTGTTGCATCTTCACCTATATTATGTGATTTTTAAAAAGATTACCTTGGCGGCCGTAAAATCTGCTCCCAAAATATATCTGCAATCGACCACAACTGGTACTTGACTAGATCCTTGCTTTATAGCAGCATTACCAACAGACTGCTTTATAAAATCGACAGCTGGGAAATACAAACTATTTCCTGGAGTGACCAACAAGTAATCCGCGCCAGAATCAGTCTATAAAAACGATATAAATATCATTAAAATATCTAGAATTGTTAAAGAATTTAGACAAATTCTAAAATTAAATAATTAATTAAAAAATAATGAAATTGTAATTACTTCATAAAAAAACAACGTGCATATTTTTCAAGTTTAACTCTTTTTTTCACAACTAATACCTTAAACTGACGAACCAGAAAAAAAATATCCTTTGAGTTTTTACTACCTACTGTACATTTGTCGATGTGGACTGTAGGTCTTGCGGAGGGATACAATAAAAACATCAAATTTATGCCGACACCGGACAAAATACCGTATTCCACACCGATGATGAGGCAAAAAAGGAAAGTCACGAACATCGGTATAAGATCCTTTTTGCTCGATTTCCATATTAGTTTCACAACTTCGTATTCGATCATATATATAACCGCGCAAATGATCACTGCTGATAACGAAGCTAAAAAGAAAAAGTGTAATAATTATGCCAAACTGCAATTTAGTGTATTATATAGAGTTGCATGTAATAAAAGCAGGGTGTATACTCGAATCTTATAAATTTCATGATTTTCCAGGTACTTTTGTTCAAAATTCCAAGTAAAATTTAAGTATTTCAAAAAATTTTAAATACAATTTTAAATTAAATCATACATAATTTTTTAACACAAATAAAATATTGTTTAATATATTTTATAATAAAATATATATTAATACTTTATATAAACTTAATAAATTTTATATTCTTTAAAGGTACATTTGAAAATCAAATCAGAGGCAATTTTTTCAAAAATTCTCTGAGAATTCCAGATTTTTCCAGGGAGTATACACTCTATAAAAGGTTCGTACCTTTTGGAATAAAGTAAAAGTAGGGCGTGAGCAGGCTGAGAGCCAGCAGAATCAGAATCCCGGTGTACAAACCACCCATCGGTGTTTTCACGCCGCTGGCGTGATTCACCGCCGATCTGCTGAAGGAACCTGTAACCGGCATAGAACTCGCGCAAGAGCCGAGAACGTTGCAGATTCCGAGGGTCAGGAGCTCTTGGGTAGCATCGACCTTACCCTCGTTCATGAAAGCCTTAGCTATGGCTACGTTGCCAAGCACAGCTATGATCGGTACTAATACTATGGCGGTATTCAATTCGGAACACATTTGCGTGAAGGTGTAGGTTTGATTGTTCACTCGTGTGGTGAAGGCTGGAAGACCGAACGGTGGAAGACCAGATCTCACCGGACCCGTCAGAATAAACGGCGATCCAGACTCGGACGAGTCGTATTTGTAGGCGATGAAGGAGCAAATGATGACGACAATGGCATTTCGCGCGGTGGAGATCAGCCATATCGTCTTCGTGAAGATCTTCTTGGATTTCTTGCTCACGTTGTTTAATTTGACATCCTTCATTTTCTGTAAAATACGTGTAAACCTTATTTCGAGAAAATGTATCAAATATAATACAAATATTATATATGTAAATACAAGTATCATATAATATTATTGTAATATTAATAAATGTATAATATATATTATATAATTATATGTTAGATATGAAAGATGAAAATTCACCCTAAATAACAATAGAATTACGATGCAAGTAAAACTCATCCCAGCATCCCATGGATTCGTATCGCCGATATTCTGAAAAACTTTTGTCAGGGTATCCAAAAATCCCTGCGATGAGATTTTTAGACCTAACAAACCTTTCAATTGCGAAGCGACGATTATAACAGATGTTGCTGACGTAAAACCTACAGTCACTGGTATTGAGATAAAGTCTACAAGTACACCTAAAAAAATTATTTTTTATGTGAGAAATTAATAATTAAAAATGGTACAATCAAAAGCACAAAAAGAAAATTTCCCAAAATTGCTAAAAAATGACAGGAACCTACTTGAAAGCTTTGGAAACTTGCAATAATCTTGCGCAAATATATCCCTCGCATGATTTATATCTTACATTTTAATTAATTCAATTTATTATTAAATTGATTTAAATAAAAATATTTTATATATCGATAATTTATATATTTTATTATATAAATATTTTATAAGAAAAAAATGTATATCGAATATATTTGCGTTTATTATAAATAACAGCATTTTTCTTATTCGTTGTTGTGTGTCAACGTACCTAAACGTAAACATGCCATTAATAATTGCAGGCAGCCAGATAAGAATGCGAGAAGTATAGCGAAGTCTGCATTCTTCCCTCGCACATAATCATGAGTCATCAAAGCCATAAGTGCGGTGGGCCCAATTGTGATATCCTTGCAGGAGCCAAATATCACGTAAATTATCGCTCCCATGAACGCCGAGTAGAGACCATACTGAAAGTAGATGCCGTATTACTATGATATATATTCCCAATTGTAAGACAAAATTGTACGAAAGAAAATGCGGTATTATATTCTTAATAATTATAATATGTTTCTTTAATATTAATAAATATGCAAACACACTTGAATAATATTTCAAAATATGGAATGATGTTTTGTATTTATTATTGTATACCTGAGGCTCCAAACCAGCTAAGGTCGCGTATGCAAGTCCCTGGGGCATAACTGTGAGACCAACCGTGATGCCGGCTATGAAATCGCTGAGGAATTTTTCCGAATCGTATTTCGGTAGCCATGCTAGGATGGGCAAGCGTCTCACTACTAATTTACGTAGCCGATCGGTGCAGGTTTTCCTCTTCCAACGCTCGCTCTCAGTCGCCATTCTGAATTAAACAAGCTTCATGAGTAATATAATGAGTAAATAAATAAATATATATATATAGAATCTTCCTATTATTTTTTATATAGAGTCTTCCTATTATTATTCTTCTACATATTTTTCTTCATTTTTCTATATAGCAATTATATATTTCTAAAGGATGAAAAAATTGTAGATCAAAAAGTATTTTAAGAAATATATATTTCTACTAACTATATATTTCTTAAAACACTTTGTTCTGATGTAAGTCGACCAACTGACAAGAATTTATTTCTAATAACACGACGTTTCAATCGTTATATTTTGGTCCTTTCAAGAACCTTTTTGTAGCATTAGCTTTACATATAGCTAAACAATCCAAAATTTGCATCAAAAACAAAAAGATAACAATAAATAGTAACGAATAACTAGTAACCTTAACAAATCCGGAAATATATATTTCTTTATAGCAATTTTAGGAGAAACATCTAATAAAAATTTATGATTTTCTAAAAAACCTTAAGGGTTTAACGTATTGAACAATTTTCTCCCATTAATAATAAAACTGAATTTACATTTATTTATTAGTGTATTGAAAAAAATATTTAAAAAATTTTGAGATAATTATTATACATAAATTTACATTAATAACAATGTATATGCATTTATTCGATATATGTATATCAATATGAAGAAATATAAATAATGAGGCAGCTTGCAATTTTGTATTCGATAATCATAATCATTAATATACTTTGCACTATAAAAAAAAGAGACGTGCTACTTTTCTTGTTTAAATATTCCCAAAAAATATAAAAAATTTACTGTCACAAGCATGATCGCTATTTCAGAAATAAATTTCAATAAAACGCGCGAATGTATTTTTAATATAAAACGTTGTCAATACAATTATGTGAATAAAGATATTAAGTTTCATTGTGATTTTATGGATGACTGCTTTTATTTAATATTAATTTACTTTTAAATAAAATTAATATTACATTAATTTTTATTAAATTAAAATTAATCATTTATATATGTATAGTATAAACTGTATGTATAATATAATAAATCATCTTAATGTAAATGTATGACAGCTATTTATACAGTCTTGTTATATACAGGGTGTCCCATTTTAATGTCCCACACTAAATAACTTTTTTATTTTTAATTGTAGAAAAAAATGTATCAGACATATTTTTTCAACAATTAAAAATAAAAATAAAATAAAAATTTAAATTTAAATTTAAAAATAAAAAATTAAATTAAATTAAATTAAAAAAAAATAAAATGAGACATCCTGTATAATTATCTATGTATTAATATATGTTACATTTAGATCTCGATCGTTTATAGATATATAAAAATACATATATGTACTGTGATTAATTATTCCCGAATGAATCAATCACGTTATTATCTGGATCCGCGCATATGTTTATTCGTGAAAGAATTGATAGTAGAAATTATCATGGAACTCATAAACTTGTATAAGATTACATATCGCGTGTCCTTGGAAAGAGACTACTAATTAACATTTACCATAGATGAGACAAATGTAGAATTACAACGATAATAAATAAATGCTTTTACTAGGAGAGAAACGGATTTCGCCGAACATGTATATATTTCGTTCCTCTCTTTTTCCAAGATCACTTTTTAATTCATAGAATTTCCGTGTTGTGAAATTTATTATTTTGTCGAAGTTGCACTCAAAGTTTACACTCGCGATTGCAAATTCCGGCAGATCCGGTAGACTGAAAGTTCGTATGTCTCGTTGGGCCCCTTATATACCCGGATAACGAACCGAACTTATGTTGGCCGGGGAAAAGTTGCTGTTAACCTTCGGACTTTTTACAGAAATCACGAAAAATTACGCGTTAAATGTGTGATCGATATTCTTATAAATGTATATCCTGTTAAATTATATCTATTCGTTTTAAAAAAATCTGCTTTTTGCGTCTTAAAAATTTTCAATCCTAATAAGTAATCGTATCAAAAAAAAAAAAAAAAAAAATATATATATATATATATATATATATAAAGAAACAATTATATTACAAAAAAAGCGATCACTCTAATCTTTATTGTAATATAAAATATTTAAAAGTTACAAGTTATGAGAAATTAGCAAAACACTGTTCTTTAGAAATTGTTTTTGAAAATTAAATATACAAGATTATTATTTGGATAAAAATTATATATATAATTTTTATATTTATAATTATATTTTATATTTTTATATATATAATTTTATTTAAATATAATAAATATAATATAGATAAAATAAAAATTATATTTCATTGTATATACATATAAATCTTATATACATATAATTTTTATCAAATAATCTTATATTATAAATATATTTAATTAGAAAACATATATGTATATATTATGAATACATTTAAATTTTTCAAAAAAAAAACTAAAGAATAATTTGATTTTTATAAGCCTAATAAAGAATTTTGAAATTTATCTCTTTTTATCTCTTTCTAAAATATTACATATATATTACATAATAGATGAGAGAATAATCGTCTTATTCTTTTCTAGAAGTGTTTCTAGTTATTAGAAACTTGTGTGAATTATTTTAGACAGAGTGTTTCATGACTGTTCTATTAATCATCGATTATCAATTTAAGCCGCGTAATACTTTCCAAAATAACAAAAAAGTGATGCAGATTACGTGCTTAATGAACACAGTTACTAGCCTTCGATGTTTCTTTTTTTTTTCATCGATCAATTATGCGTTCAACGCGCGATTAAAATGAAATGCATCTTCGTGCACACATACCTGATTGAGAATTTCTACTGATCAAAATGTTATTCTCTCCAATTAGAGTCTCCAAAAAAACAAATTAGGAGTCGTCGAACGGCGTGTAAGTGTGAACGATGTCCGGTAATATTTTTCGTGGAATACCGTTTATCCATATTGACCCCATTGTTCACTAGATCGTCCGAAGGAGCCGATGAAAAGACTCTGCACTAATCTGTTCGAAAGCGAATATTAGCCTTGAGTCATTTGTTCACATGAAAAAAACATATATATATATATATATATATATATATATTAATATGTATTTTATTGTAATATATATATATATATATATATATATATATATTAATATATAATTAATTATATTATATTAATATATAAATTATATTATTAATATATATATATATTAAAAAATATATTATTAATTACTATAGCTAAATTTTTAGTGTCTTTTATGTTGCATCTGAATTTATATTATGTCTAAATTTTAGCTACGATAACTAATATTTTTCATTATAGTTTAACAGGGAATTTTTTTCCTATTAAACTGTAGTTTGAAAATATTAAATAAATTATTATTTTATTATTATATTATATTAAATTATTATTTGTATTATTTTAAAGTATTAAATATATATTTATATAATATTTATAAATATATGAATATATAATATAATATTAAACATAAATAATTATATATAAATATATAATATAATATAATAATCTATAATACAATATATATATTAAATAATAATTAATAAAAATTTAATTTTCTAAGTTAGTTTTAAAATACATTTCGAATTTTGTTAGAATATGGGCACGTATTTTTTTTCTCTCTCTCTCTCTCTCGTCGTGGCTTTCTAAATAAAGAAGAAGCGAAATTTCTATGTGGATGTTACATGTAATCTAATGATAACAATTGTCCGCGATACATCTTATGACAGCCCGAATGTACTTTACACTGTATACATCATCTGTCAAATCAGATAAATTGAGCTAAATTGTGACCGAAATATGCGACTATCAATAATAATAGTTAGCCAGATGACGTCAGCAATAGAGGCGAAACTTATTAAAATTAAAAATGCATCAATTACGAATCAGAAGAGGAGAAACATCGCTTATTTTCAATAAAGAAGTCTTTTTTCATTGTTTTGTAAAAATATGTGTGTATGCGAACAAAAATCAATCATTTTCTGCAGTTGCCAATCATTTAATTTGGAGCACATAGTATATGCAATATACGTGATAAATATTGATTATCGAGCATTATAAATAACTTGAAGAATGTGCTGGATTTGTACTGACAATAAAGAATTTCAAGACTTCCGTAAACAGAGCAGCTCAAGATTTTAGTAATAGGAACTATTAATTAATGATATATTACGAAATATTTTAATATTAATTAAATTTTATTTTATCTAAAAACTCTTACACGAAAATTTTTATAAAATTGATTTCGTTATAATATCGGGATATAAAATATAATTTTATATTATGATAATAATAGTATTGATGTTTCTTAAAATGAAAATATTTCATTAAAATAGTTGCATTCTAGAAATAAATAAAAAATTATTTTTTAATGTGATATTTTCGTTTCAAAACGTGAACATCAAAATCATATATATATAATATAAATTTATATATCATACTAATAATAACAATAATAAAATTTTAAATTTTCGCAGATATCTTTTAACAAATTCTCTGGTCAATTTATTTTCCTTCATAAAAATATCTAGGCAATAAATAATTTTCGAAAAAACAAAACTATATTCTTCAATTGATTACAAACAAAGATATATGATAATAAAAATTGGAAACTTGTAAAAAATATGATGAGCTTCCTGCACATTTTTGTTGAGAAAAACGTCTCCAAACTAGCTAGAAAATTTGTTATTAAAAGGATTTGATTCGATCTTTTGAGACACTCTATATATATATTTGTGTGTGTGTTTATATACATATAATTTGTATATCTATAATGACATAAATTAAAATAAATACTTTTAACATAAATGTATTCCATTTCAAAATTTAAAATACGTAGTAAATTTATATTTTTAAATAAAAATATATAATTATAATTTCAAATATGCTATAAGTCGATACATTCAATTCTGTATGTCATATATATATATATGTGTATATAATTAATTAATTAAACTTACAATCAAAAATTAATAAATAATAAGCATATAAGCAATTTTAAAAATCGCGACACTGTCGCTTGATTAAGTGTTAATTATAATATATTTCGTGAAAAATGTTTTCCTCGTAAAAATATGTTTATTATTTTATTTAACCTAAAAACACTTACAGAGAAGATTGCTCCGTCATCGATATGTCAAAATCAATCCAGGATATATTCGCGAGAATATCAAGAAAATATTTTCATCTCACGCGCAAAAATCGTAACAAAAGTCACTTCACTTATAACAACAGCCTAGAAGATTCTCGTCGAGAAACTGACCCAAATTCCAAATCGCGGACACTGAACGACTGGTCACTAAACCGGCGTCTGACGTCAGCAAGTCCATAGTGACGCAGGGCCGCCAACCCTAGAAAAAAAATACCATATTGACAGGTCTGTTCGTTTTTATTTACACTTTAGGGTAAATACGAAAATGTCAATACAAACATTTTCTTTCCAATTTTTATACAAAATATATTTTGTTTATTAAAAAGTTATATTTATTAAAATTAATATTACAAATTATATATTTGTTATGCTTATTTCATTATATATTTATTTATTTATTATATTTTATTTTATTTTAATATATTTTATTTTATTTTAATATATTTTTTATTTTATTTTATTTTAATTTATTTTTACATTTATTATATTATATATTTAATATATATTTTATATATTTAAATATTTTTATATATTTATTATTTTTATTATATTTTTCAGAGATGTAAAAAATTTTTTTGAAAAATTGTTTTTAATATTTTTTATAATAACTTGGATAATAATTTCTCAATATCGAAATGTCAGACTTCTCTCTCTCTCTCTCTCCCTCTCTCTCTTTCTCTCTCTCTCTCTCTCTCTCTTTCTTTGCTGCAAACAGAAAATATTTTTATTTTTCTTATATAAATTTTAATTATAATTTTAATGTACGTATATATTTGTGAGTTTTATCGAAAAATGTCTGCCTTATAATATCGAACATATATAAATATAACATTTTAACATATTTTAATAAATGCATGTTTAAACTCTAATTACGTAAACTAAAGCTTCCGCATTGTAGGTTATAAATAAGAATTTTCACAATGATAAAATACAGAGGATTTATCTCAGAACGTGTAAACATTGTAACATTATCTTAATTTATGAGCGAGGTATCTGATAATGTTATCAGTATCAGAATAAAAAGAATTACAAAATCAATACTATAAAAAAAAAAAACTCCACTTTGAATATCTTCTTCATTTCAATTGTGACTAAAAGCTTGTACTGTGTTTTAGAAGTCAAACTTGGATCAGAGGTCAAAAAGTCAGTTGCGAGAATTGTGAATAGCCATGTGCATTTTATTCATCTATCGCAATCCCAATGCTGATGTTAAATCTTATCGATTGATAGTTGCAACAAATAGAGATGAAACTTATAAGCGTCCTGCAGCATCCGCTCACTATTGGAAGGAGCATCCTGAATGTTTAGGAGGTGCAATGAAAAATTAGGAAATTTATATCCGGAGTAACATTGCAATATTTATGAATTTTAATTTTAAAAATTTATACTAGGTATCGACATGGAACCTGGTAGAGAGGGAGGTACCTGGTTGGCTCTATCGATGAAAGGGAAAGCTGCGGTTATTTTAAATTTAGTTGATAAGGAAAACAAGCTGAATTCATCAAAGAAGAGTCGTGGTTCTCTCATAAGCAATTTTGTTACTTCCGATGATTCTATAGAGACTTATGTGGACCAATTGCACAAAGAAAATGTTAACGGACAACCATACAATCCTTATAGTTTGGTCTTCCTAAATTTAAGGTACGTAAATAATTAATATATTGCGTTGTAAGCCTAAATATACAACCATCTCTATTTAACTCGAGCAATGTAACACTTTATATTTTACTGAGGCATGTATAATATTTTTCCAGTAATGCAAATATACATTATCTAAGTAGCGATGTAAACTCTACTCCCCAAATGTGTAACAGTGACATTATAGGTGTTGGAAACAGTGGAATCGAATGCCCTTATAAAAAAGTTGAAGTGGGCAAAGAAGAATTTAAACATATAATAGAGAATGCAAATGTATCGAAACAAAATAGTCTTATCGAAGAACTTATTAATTTTTAAAGTCACGGAAAAGGTATATTTTACACACAAATTATATTTATATGAATACATTTCATACTAGAGTTATTTAAAATGTTTATACAATATTTTAAATTTTGCATTAAAGATGTCTACCAGATCCTGAGTTACAAAAGAACAATCCGACAATATATGAAGAGCTTAGTTCAATTTTTGTTGCTGGAAATGAATATGGCACGAGGACACACTCCATATTATTGGTTGACGGCTCAAATCATGTAACATTTGTTGAAGAGACTCTCATGTCCGATTCTACATGGAAGCGACAGCAGTTTCAAAATGAATTAATATCTGATGATATATATTGATATTCAATTTAATATTTTAGAGAGTTATTTATGTAAAATAACATATTTTATTAGCACTATTTCTATCAATGAGGAAAAAGATTAAAGAATAGTGGATTTTGATATAACTATTTGTACTTAAGATAATTTTTTTATTCTTGAAATCTTATCAAACATATAAGTCATGTCAATTAATATTATATGATAAGAGAAGAGATATTGCATGTATGATACATACATATTACCAAAACTTGATAATTTAGAAAGAAATTTTAAACTTAACTATGTTGCTAACATATTTTTATATATTTCAGTATCATTTTATATTTATTGTAAAAACTTTTTTTATAAATTCTTCAAAAATTGTACACATATGTATCTTATTTGTATAAAGATACGATATACATACATATGTTCCTTTTTATATACATATATAAAGTCAATAATTAATATTATTAACTTTATATAAGATCTTTTTGTAATAATATTTTATTACTGGTTATATAAATAAAAGTATGTAAAGTTTATCACGTTATTTTTAATTTAATATTATTAATTATTTATTATTATTATTTTTATCATTTAATATTATTACCCTAATATTTTTGTTATTATTATTATTATTAAGTTTATTATAGTTGATTTATATTAGAAAAATTGAAAATTCTTTAATTTAATAAAATATTTAAACTATTTTCGAATGTAGGAAAAGCCAATAAAATAAATAAGTTTTTTATATATTCAATGAAATAATTTTTATGCTTTTGATATATGTAATAAAAGTTTTATATATATTAACGAAAAACTTTTTATATTTTATGTATATATCAATTATTCAATACTATTATTAATTATTGTGTGTAATATCAGTTTAATATTATTAGTAATTCTAATAGCTAAAATTGCAGAATCCACTTCTATTAAGATATTGCTAAATACTTATTTTCATCATCTTCAAAGTGAAAGTGATAACTGTATCGAATAACTAAAATAATAATTAATTTAAAATAAATATTCTCTCGAATGCAATCAAAGATAGAACAGATAGACACATTTAAAATAAAGAAAAATTGTTTAATTTATTTTACTGATTTTCCTTGTAATTTTTAATTATGAATATATATGTACATATATTGATTGTAGATTTATAAAAGGTTTAAATTAGATTTACTATCATTTAGGAAGATCTTATAATCAATAAACTCTTAGTTTAATTAGATTTTAAATGAATATCATCTAATAATTCATTTATGTATTTGAAAGCTTTTTTCGTGAATTATATATTTTATATTTTAAACGGAGACATGCATCAATCATCTGTAAATAAAAAATAATTTATTATAAATAAGAAATTAAAATGTAAATAATGAATTATTTTTCACTTACATTTAAATTATGGATAAAATATACGTATATCCCTAACTGTTTAAAAAAAGTTTATATATAATATGTATATATTTATATATAAAATATATATATAAATTATATATATAATATAAAAATATATAATATATTATAATATATATTTATATATATAAATATACCTATATTATATATATATAAAATATCTAAATAAATATATATATATAAAAATATGTAATATATATTTATATATATAAAATATATAATATATATATTTATTACATGTGAATATTTATTGGGCGTTTAAAATGGTAAAAAATCAAAGGAATTATTGGATTGCAACGATTATATAAATTCGATCATTTATCCTATGCCTGCAACGACCGATCGGCGATATTCCCATGCAAGCTGCAATCCTCTAATATGTAATGCCCGATTGTGCATCGCTGCAATCCTAATGTAATGCCATAAAGGTGCGCGGCGCAAGAAACTAACAAAAATGTGAGTGAATGTTCTCGCGGTATATATAAAGAAGATTCGCGTTCGTGAGATGCTGCAACACTCCGGAACGTTGCTTGTGCTCGAGACGTCTTCGCGTTCTCGGATGATCGGATCGCGAAACTTGCGAAGAACGAAAAACAGTTCCGAGGAAAGAGTATATGCGTCGATCTTACGATAACTTATTTTTTCATTAAATTTTTTTATTGAAAAAAGCTTTTTTCATTTTTAAACCACGCATTTATCTGATTAAAAAAGCATTTCCGTGTGAAAAAAAATGTGTGATTAAAAAAAAATAATATATTATTAACGAGGAAATCTTGAATTTGTGCTCTCAGCATTCACGGATTGCAAAATGTTCTTCATTTTCCGGAAATGTAGTTTAGAGGAAATCATCTGTAGTATGGTTAGTATTTTACAAATATTTATTACAAATTATTACAAGTATTAGATTTTATTCATATATATATTTTTATGGTACTTTTAATTTTTAATATATGTATATGCCAAATGGATTTATTGTCGTTACGAAAATTTCACTTAATTGTTTCTATTATTTGTTTTTTAATTAAACTTTTAGGCAGATATCTCAAGAAAACTAACACGATCAATTTTAATTATTCTGTTCTCCAATTTTAGAGCCATCAGAGGAGTCTATAAATTTTTAAATAAAGATTAATCTCCCTCCGATCTCCTCTGGAAAGTAAAAAAACAACTTTAAAATTCCAAAGTATGCAAAATCAATTATTTTTGTTATAATCTATATTAAAGAAAAAAACAAGTAACTTTTGTTTAAAAGATTTTTTCTTAAAATCCTTAAAAAATTACAAGCGTTTAAATAAGTTTGAAGTAAACAGATGACTTTTAATTGTATAAATCTGAATGGACTATAAAATAAATGTAAAACACAAAATTAAATTTATTATAAGTACTGAAAATTTTTATTTTAAACAAAGTTACTTATATCTTTTAACATAGATTACGGAAATAATTGATGTATATCTACCCTGTATTTTAACTCTCAGAGAGTTGCAACATTATTTGCACGAGTGCGACTTTTTCCTTGTATAAAATACCGCGAACATTTACTTCTTGGTTTTAATATTGAATATTGAATATTAAACATCTTTATAAATTTTAATATATATTTTTCTTTATTTTTTTTAATATTGATTTAAAACCGAGCGACAACATTTTATTGTTATCGATTTGTATATAAAAGATTCTTAATTTGTTGGCATATTTTTAATATTTACCTAAAATAAAATGTATATATGTAATTATTGTGTGTATATCTATTGTACGTAATGATAATTCTTAAAATTTATTTTAAAATACGAATATTATTAAATTTCCTTACAAAATAATTATTCGATTCATAATAAAATGATTTTGTATTATAATTATTCAAACAGTTGACTTTCACAAAGAATTATTTATTATTAATGATTAATTAATAACAATTTATCTATTAATTTATTTGTTATTTATTTATTTAATGATTTTTCAGTATCAAAGAGATATAAATCATAATAATGTATTTATACAGCTTTGTTTACATTACAAAAATTAGAAAATAAAAAATTGCATTAATAGATTTGAATTATAGAATTATAATTTTTAGAAAGATGTTTTAATTAACATATATTATACAATGGAACAGATTATTAATGATTGGCGCCATTCTTTTTCCATACATCTATGTATCTATATTCATGTATATATATATTCAGATTTATATAGATAAATAGAGCTATAAATTCTCTAGATTTTCTCTGTAAACAATATATAACAACGTTATATATTGAATCTGTTTATTCCCATAAATTATCATAATTAAAGGTATATGCATTTATGTGTATGTGTGTGTGAGCGAGAAAGAGTAGAGATCTATAATTTAGCTGCATAAATCATTTCAATTATGCAATAGAAGCATCTCACTAGTTGAATAATAATTCTTATCCTTCATTTTTTCGCATGTTTATCTAAAAATGTATCTCGAGAAATCGTCTCACGTGTGTGCCTGCTTTTTTTCTGTTCTCAGATTTTTCTCTCGTGCACTTTGTCGCTCGGTTTTGGTCGAGCGAATAATCTTCCTCAAGAGTAAGTGTCGAAAAAAATTGAATTAAATAAAAAAATTATATATATGTTACATATAATATAAAATATTTAATATATTTAATATATAAAAAAATATATATTAAATATGTATATATATATTTAAAATATTTAAACATTTAAAAATATATATAATATATTAAATATATTAAATATTAAAAAAATTGTGAGTGAGAGATGTGAAAAAAATATATAAATATATATACATTAATTTTTTTCACGAATTTTCTTCGAACGAATAATTTGTTGACGGAAAAAAATAAAGACAAGTAAAAAAATATTCCATATTTTTTTGCAAAATATATAGATATTCCTCTCACCCGCTCTTCAAAAACTCGAGGCGTGCATACCTGTGCACTCCAGTCGATGCAACATCATCGTCGTCGGATGCATTCGGGCCGACTATCGCGTGCGCGTTGAAATTTGCATCATCGCCGATGCAAATAAGCGGTGCCTCCGGATCGACGAGCCATTTATCATCGCCTACTTACGTCAAAGTATCGGCGCCTTTGTTGTACAAGCCCTTACCGAGGACGTCTTCCCTGGTGTACGTTGCACCACCCATCGTCAAATCTGCATCGGCTGTTGTAGCCACTGAACCGAAACTGGAAAATGAGGACATTCAGCACACGGTAAATTATTAATATAAAATAAAAAAGAAAAAAAATGAAAAATAAACAGACAATTAAAATTTTTGATAGGATATAAGCACTATTTTTTGTGCATAAAATTATCTATATTAATATATTAATATATAATATATTATATATTAATATATTTAATATAGAATTATAATACATATATATAATATGTAATATAATATAAAATACTTAATATATATATTTTTTTATATATTAAATATATATTAATATATTTATATTAATATGTAATATATTATATATTAATCTATTTAATATATAAAAAAATATATATTAAATATATATATATTTAAAAATATTTAAACATTTAAAACTATATATTTAATATATTAAATATAAAAAAATTGTGAGTGAGAAATGTGAAAAAAATATATAAATATATATATATATATACATTTTTTCACGAATTTTCTTCGAATGAATAAATATGCAATAGTGGATACAAACCTTCTGAAATATATATATATATATCAAGAGATTTGATTATTTTTTTCTTTTATCAGGCGTATCCCAAATATTCCTTTAATTACGGCGTAGTGGACGGATATACCGGCGATTCCAAATCAGCATGGGAAGAACGAGATGGAGATACAGTTAAGGGAGAATATTCGGTCGTTGAAGCAGATGGAACTATTCGTACTGTTTCTTATACGGCGGATGATCGTAATGGCTTTAATGCTATTGTGACTAGAAGCGAACCTCCAAAGAACACAAAATCTGCAGCAGAATTAAAAACATTTATACCCGGTGTTATATTTACAAACGATAGACATACAATATAATTTAATAATTAAATAATATTAACCTACTGCTACTGGTTTCCTTCCTATAAAATATCATGTATTTTTTCTATGCAATACATATACGTGTTATTCTTTTATTTTAGAGTAGCACTTTCATGCAGTAAAGATATATTTAATTTATATATCATCTAAATTACACGTATAGTTAAATTCGAAAGATTTTATTACAATACACGAGAAGTGTTTTCTTTTGTAAAAATAAATAAAAAATGTAGAATAAAATTTTGTACGTATATGTGTAAAGCATTTTATTTTCAAGAAAATCAATTTCCAAAATTGAAAAATTAATAATACATTTACGTTTCTTCAACTTTATGATTTTTAACAATTTTGTATTAAAGTTATTAATTTTTTTCAAGAATAATGTATCGTATAAAACATATTCTATATTTTCAATTTATTTTTACATAAAGAATTAATTCTTTCCTAATTATATGCACTACAATTTCAAACGTGTTATTATGTAAAAATGCTGTTTTCTTCTGTACTATGATGTGTAATTTTCTTTTTTTTTTTGTATAACATTCAATATATATTTATTCATGTATTCTCAGACAATTGCGTTTCTTATAATTTTAAGTCTTCTATTGATCAAGCAAGTTAGCTCTTATATGTAATATGAAAATTTTAAAAATTGATAAGATATAAAAAAAAATTATTTTTATAAAAATATATGTAAAATTATATACATATATACGTATTGAAAAATTAAGATCTCTCAGCAACAAAATTAAATTAATTTTACAGATCTTGAAGAGATTTTCATTTATTATATTGTGTATATCTATAACGGAAAAAAATGATATAGAGTTATTAATATATAATAATATATAGTTTGCTGTTGTTATATGCATTATGTAAAGAATATATTTTTATATTAATTCGTGCATATATTATGCATATACTTTTTTACTAGAAATTTGTACTTTTTCAGCAAATCTAAAATAGCTTTTCAAAAATCAATATTGCAATAAGTATTACATATGCAAACAATTCTTTTCATCTTTTTATAACGTGTATATTAACATGCTAATTTGCTTATTAATACATATACATGTAATATAAATTTATTAATTTATTAACGCGTAAGATAAAATGTATTAACTTAATCATATTCTTAATACAGTTTAAGTTAAAATGGAAATGTTTTGTTTGTTATATACAAAAGCGAATATCTAAATCGCTTTCCTAATACGTTTCATTGTCAGATATTATGCACCAAATATATGAACCTAATGAATATATTATAAATGAAAAGATTCTTAAAGCTAATATCTCTAGACTTGTCAAATGACAGGTGCAATGCTTGTATCGCTTAATACCATGTAACAAAGAGTCAATGAACGTGTCATTAATACATTATGTATAATTAGAAGAATTTCTACCTATTCCTAGATCTTTTATTGCTATTCTTTTTCGCGCTATTTGTAGATTTAGTTTTATTCGAGTCTTTGCTATTACTGTGACACTCTTTCACAGGTATCGTAATGTGTTCTAAATTTCCATTGGACATTGATCCATTTGTAAATTGGATCAAAGCATTGTCCGAATTGTTAAGAGTGCCATTATTTTGCGCATATCCACTTTGTATATTAGTATGATTTTTCCCGCTAGCTTCTTTATTATTGCTAGAAGAGATTGCATTTGAATTGCCAAAGTTGCAATTGTCCTCGCTTCCGCTATTTCCAATTTGAGATTCCGATTCACTGTATCGTTCAACTGGAATTAAGCATCTCATATTACACGGTATACAAATGAAGAGAAAAGCGAGAGGAAAATAGATACTGTCTACAGATGGAGCAACACAGGTGCATAAGCAAGCGTTAGAAATATAGAGAATTTTTTTTACTCGGACTGTGCTCACAGCGAGTATGATCTTTTCTACATCAGAAAATAAACGTTATTGCATAATATAAATACATTTTACGTGTATTTTTATTTTAAATAATTTATTTGTTTCTTGCTGTAAAGTTCATATCAAAATACTCTCTTAAAGCATGATCATTTACATGATCTCAAAATACATGCAATTATTTATAAAGAAATTAATAGGAAAATAAAGAATAATACTATTAAATATAATTTATAATAAAGTATTATTTATGTACTATTAAACATAACAGATATACAACAACTACATCTATAAAATTAAAAGAATTATTTAATTTAAATGCAGCACCACTTTAGATTTTTGATATTCTAATATCAAGTTACATTAATATTTAATATATATATACATGTATATGCATATCAAATGCTATAAAATCTAGTATTACTCTTTTAGATGTAAAGCAATTCAAATAAGAAAAATCAGTGCAAATATATTCTATTTACACAACATAATAATACACAATAACACAATCAGATAACTTAATCAAACATAAGTAACTACTTATGCATTCGTAAAATTATAATTGTTTCTACAGAAAAGAGAATAATAAAAGAAAAGTGCATGTACAAAATACAAGATAATTATGTTCTATAAATAAATAATCATGACATAATCATGAATATCCATTCAGGTCCTTACTTTTTTCTTGTGTATTCTCTACAAGTCCGCTAACTGCCTGTAATCAGAAATGATTAGCTATCGCTCTAACAAAATTAAAATAATATATAAAACATTGCAAAGAAAATTATAAGAATCAAGTATAATTATTTAGTTAAATAATAATGTAATAGTAATTTTCTCTTTCTTTCTGCGATAAAATGTGTATATACAGAAAATAAAATTTTAGTAAAAATAATTAATTTACTTACTGCCATAGATGTAATTGATGATTTAGAAAATAATCTCTCAGCCTCTTTAAATTTTCTGTTACGTTTGTCTGCTTTACTATTAGTATTTTTGTTGCTTGCTAAATACCTATCCCAACCTCTGATTATGTTTCCATACAATTGCGTATCTTCTAAATAGCTTCCTTCAAAGGCATATATTTGACGTTCTAAGTTGGCTAATGTATCCTGCAAAAATATTAACATCAAATAAGAAATATTTTTATCGGCTCTCAGTATTAATAATAATATAAATATATTTATAAATTTATTTATATTATAAATTATATCAATTTATTTATTTATATTATATTTATATTATTTATATTATATATTTATTTATATTATAAATATTTATATTATATTAATTTATATTATATTTATATTAAAAATATTAACCTTTGTACAAATATGCATCTAATGTATTATACCTTATATTGCAAAAAAATATTCAATATTGCTTTTATTAGAAAAAAATGTTATGTTTATACATCATGTTATGTCATTTTTTTTGACATCTTTAATTTTGACAATCAGCTGTTCGCTCTATCAGCTTAAGTAAAGTAGTACAAAATAAAATTGTGCAAAAAAGATTTGGTTTAATTTTCCAAGTTTTGTGTGAAATAAATAATCAACACGAGAATTTGACGTCAAAATTGTTGACATTTATACTCACTGCGATTTCGGCTTTGCGTTTTACTAATTCCGCCAGCTCCGCTCGCAAATCCACCGAGGATTTCGTAGACATTCTTCCGATACACCGCAGAAGGATGCAGTATAAATAATAGATTGCTGTAGAATGTAGAAAAAAAATACGAAGAGACTATTCCAAATTTGCTCCAAATAATCAGGAACAACAGAATAATGAAGTTCGTTGAAAGCATAGATTATAAACGCAGATTGAGAAAGGTCTCGCGCGTTTCGACTCGTAATCGGCGGCGATTGGTTGACAGTTGACAGTTCGATCAATCAGAACGAAGCGACTTTGTTCTGATTGGTCGAGCCGCGGTCTTGAAAACTAATCGACCAATCAGTATCGAGCATTCTCGCTTAATAGACAAATCTTTATTCTATTGCCTAACCGCAGGCGTGAATGACGTTTCATATATAGGATGTCCTGAAATTACCGACTCTTTTATTGAGAATACAATCGCGTAAGTTTTATTATAGAAATAGAAAAGAAAAAATATTATTTTAATAAACTTCGAAAAAATCTATTTTTTTAAATTTGCTTGTAAATAGATTTGGACGATTTTATCTTCCAAATTATTATGTAACAAATATTTTAATTGTCATGCAAATTGCATATTCCGATTTTCCGAAATTTTTATACAAACTTCAAACTCGTCGATTCTCTGCTTTCGAGCGGAAGTGACTTTCTCTTGTTTATAATTACAATGTATGACTAATAGAAACGTGTTGCATAATTTCGGAGCATCTTGTAGAGCGATAAACACAAGATACCGGCATCATATGAACAACAGATTGCGAATTCAAGGGCGTGTACGCGCATACGACGTGCGATAAAACGTGTGTTTTCGTCTCTCGCTATGTCGCTCCGCTCCTAGCTTCCATCGAGACGCCTATTATCCTTACCTTTTGCGTCCAAATACGAAGGAAAGATGGGCCAAAGCGTTTCCAGAACCGACTTCGAATGGGTTTATACGGAGGAGCCGCACGCCACGCGGCGCAAATTAATCTTAGGTATTGGAAACTATTTTAAAAAAAAAAGAGTTTTTCATATTTCGTCAATTGCAGCAATTACTTTTGAAATTAAAAAAATATTTAAAATTAGTTACACAACAAAAATGTCAAACTGAAAAGAAAAAGCAAAATTATATAAATATAACATATAGATTATATTTATATTTTTTAATTTATTGTCAAACATGTAATTTATAAAAAAAATTACTTATATTTGTTACAAAAATAATACTACTTTTTGTTTCAGAGAAATATCCACAGATAAAAAAATTGTTTGGGTACGATCCGAACTTTAAATGGGTTGTAATTGGGATGGTATTAGTGCAGTTCCTGTCGTTGTTCATTGTCAAGGATTTAAGTTATCCAAAAATTTTGATATTAGCATATTGTTTCGGCGGTGTAATAAATCATTCGCTTATGCTTGGTATGTTTTTATTTTGTTTAGAAGAACCATATATATTTTATCAAATGTCATATATTCACTAATGTATAATTAATGTTCTACATATGCACAAATGTATAATTAATATCGTATACACTCGCTAATGTATAATAATGTGTAATACATATGTATAATTTCTAATACATTATTAATTGTTTTAGCGATACATGAAATTTCTCACAATCTTGCCTTTGGACATGCCAGACCCATGGCTAATCGACTGTTTGGCTTTTTTGCAAATTTGCCAATAGGAATACCAGTATCTATTAGTTTTAAAAAATATCATCTTGAGCATCATCGTGTGAGTATTACAAAATTTTATGCAAAATCTACTGCGATTTGCATTTAATGTAGTGATATATAGTGTATATATTTTCAATCACACATACATATTAATAAACTATATTGTGATATTTAGTATCAGGGTGATGAGAAATTAGATACAGATTTACCAACTTTATTAGAGGCTAAATTATTCAGTACAACCTTTGGGAAGTTTTGTTGGGTAATGTTGCAACCATTCTTCTATGCATTTCGACCTCTTGTAACTTATCCAAAGGTTCCAAGTTTTCTGGAATATGTTAATTTAGTTATACAATTGATATTCGATGCTTGTGTGTGGTATTTTTTCGGTAAGTTTCAGAATTTACATACAAATCAAGTAATAAATAATATTAATTTGTAAATTAAATATTTATAACTTGTAAATTGTTAATAAAGAACAAAATATATATAATTTCAGGTGGTAAAGTATTGTTTTACTTGCTTATTGGCGCATTTATGGCAATGGGATTGCATCCTGTAGCAGGACATTTTATATCGGAACATTATATGTATAAAAAAGGTTTTGAAACATATAGTTACTATGGACCCTTAAACTTCATTACTTTCAACGTTGGATATCACAATGAGCATCATGACTTTCCTGCAGTGCCTGGTTCGAGATTGCCAGAAGTAAGCAGAAAAATTACACAATTTTAACATAACTTTAATTATTACAAAGCAATAATATAATTTATTTATTTAATTTATTTTTTATGTATAGGTGAAACGTATAGCTTCAGAATTTTACGACAAATTACCACATCATAATTCGTGGGTTTCTGTTCTGTACGATTTCGTGATGGATCCTGAAATTGGGCCATATGCAAGAATGAAGAGAAGGCATCGTGGATTAGATCAATAAATTTAATTTTTCTCAAATTTTTCTAAAAAATTGATATATAATTATATAAAACTTATATTTACATTATTAATTCTATTACTATGAAAAATTGTACATTTATTGGGGAATATAATCTAGAAATATGCTTTATCATTGGAACAAAACAACGTATGTCGGAAAATATGATAGCGTATTTTCCTATGTTGTAAATACAGGAGAGATTAGGGATGATATTATGGCAAATATCTCTTCAATATTATCAAGTATATCTTATCAAGTTATGTTTTATAAGTTTTTGTTTTCTGGACTCTAGTCATAATAACAACAGTTTTTGATTCATTATTTTTTTCAATTAGCACAATAAAGAAAATAAGATTTATTTTCAATTCTTTCTCGATAATTATAGCTACTATAATAATTCACTTCTTCCTTCTAATGTTCTCTTGTTAATTCTAAAATAATTAAAAATATCTATTTCTGGAACTTGATATTCAGATAAATATTTTTAATTTTAGTTTGAATTTAACAAAGATTGAATTCAATTGCTTCTAGAACAATCTAACTCGTGTCAAAAGTGTTTTATATCTCATTTGCTATTTTGATAGCGAATTTATAATGTAAAGCTATTCTATACTTATTTACATAAGTATATATATAATGTAACTTTTTTGGATTGCTGATGACATTGTCATTAAAAACTCAGGTCATATTAAAAAAAGTGCATGATGGTATATTACGCTGTATGTGTATAATACAAAATTGTACATATTGTGTTTTAATGAAATGCATATTGATATAAACTGTTTTTCAATAATTATATGTTTGAGAAATTTAAGAAAATAGTGAAAAAAAATTTTTTTAACTAGATTTATATAAAATTGATTTATATTAAGTAATATTTTGTTTACTCAATTATATATTAAAGTTAAGATATATATTCGTTTCGTAATTAAAAGTAATTATTAAATGATTTATTAAAATAATGATTATGTGTACTGAAATTATTTTTTATCGTATTTGATGTATTTTAATTTTATATTTTATATATATACATTTTTTCTGGAATTCTTGTTCCAGTTGAAACAAAATATGAATATTTTTTTATTACGCAGAGACAAGCGATAATAATATAACACACACATAATTGAGATATATAGTTTAATTAATATAGATGATTAATTAATTGTAGATAATTTGTATTTTTTTATAGAAAATAATTTAGAGAGAGAGAGAGAAAGTTTTTGCTAAGAATATCCAGGAAACATTTTGGTTTTATTTATGAATTAAAAATTAAAATTTAAAATAGTGAAATTAGAAATAATATGATAAATATTAAATTATACATATTAATTATTATATATATATTTTTTTATAATTATTATATATATTTTAATATATTAAATAGAAATAATTATAAATTATTTATTTTTCTTTCAATTTATAATATACACGTGACGTCAATATTTTATACTACAATCAGAGAGAATCGACCAATCAGGGAAGCCCTGAAGAAGGGGATTCTAGCCGAACCTGAAGAGGTTTAAGAACTCCATGTGGACACACGATTTTATGAAAGTATGTTACATTTTCTCTCAATATTAGCAAATATATAATTATTATAAATATTAAAACGTTGAATGACACATATAAATTAAACATTTGCCTAGAAATTGTTCCATCAGATGTATCGCGAGGAAAAGAAATGAAGAGAACGTTTGAGGATAACCACGCTGGAGGTAAGAAGAGATGGTACGAGGAATATTCGAAGGCGGAGAAGCCCTGCAGACACTCCGTGTCGGAAGTCGACGTGTTGCGTCTGAAGGACGAGGGAAAAAAATACTTGGACGCCGAAACCTCGACTTTTCAGCTGAAACAGTCCAGGTTGCACGACTCGGAGCAAAAATGGCTGAAGATGGCCTTGCAACGTGGTACCACGGCTGATAAAATAGCAGCCAGTATAGTAATGGTGCAGGATAATCCGAAGTACAATCTAGGTCGTCTGACGTCTGTGGTGTCCCAGGTGCGAGGGGCCAAGCAGAATCAGTGCGACATGGTGATTGCGTCACTGAAAGAGCTCTTCCTTGCGGACCTGTTGCATCCTAAATTCAGGTCAGGATTGGCGTGTTTCAAACAATTTGTTTAAAACTATTTGATTAAAACTTGCTTAAAACAGCGGACACTGTTTTAAACAGCAGTTTAAAACGTTGCGATTAAAAGATGTGATTATTTGAAAAAGAAACTGCAAAGGAGAACAAAAACAAGTAAAGACTAATAGACGTGCATGTTGCAAAAAGGTTTTTGTTTTAATTTTTATATAAGTATATAAAGTATATAAAATATAGGTATATATAAATAATGAAACAAAAATAATAAAAGATAGGTATTATTTTAATGGAATATTTATTTTTGGAATATTTAATATTATTACATTTTTAATTATTCAATTTTTTAATTATATTATTAAATTTTGTAATATTTAATATTATTAAATATTAAGAAGTAATAATCAATATATTGAATATATTAAAAATTATACATATAAAGCTATCTACAAAAGCACAAATCACCAACTATTAAAATCCAAATTATAACATATTGTATTTTACATTTTATCTATTAAAATAATAAAATAATGTAATTCCTTTAAGTAAGAAAATAATACATATTTAAGTTGGAAAAAATAAACTGTAAATGAACAATAACATATGGGAATTGCATTGCATATTGAGTATTTCTTTAATATTTACTTTTATAAATTGAATTAAAATTAATAATTCAAAATAAATTAAAGAATATATAATTTTATATATTAAATATTCCAGGTTACTGAAGCTGGAGGAGCAGGATCTGGACAAGCTGAACCGGGGAAATGAGCCAGACTCCATCGTCAGGACTAATCCTCCCAGGAATAGACTGCTGGCGCACTGGTACTTTGAGGATCAGCTCCGCCAGCAATATGAGTGCTTTATATCCAACCTGTCCTCGGTGGCCTTCGATACAGTGGATGCGAATCGCGAGAAGGCTATATCCGCAATGACAGATCTGCTGATAGGCAACGCTGAGCAGGAGCACAGGTTGTTGGAGATGCTGGTGAACAAGATTGGCGATCCACAGAGCAAGGTTGCGTCCAAAGTTGTGTTTTGTATCAATAAGTTGCTGTACGAGCATCCGAATATGAAGCTCGTGATTCTGCGGGAGGTCGAGAAGTTGCTGTTTAGGAATAATGTATCCCAGCGTGCTCAGTATTACGCCATTTGTCTGCTGACGCAATTTGCTTTGGATAGGAACGACGATGCGATAGCTGGTACTCTGATAGAGGTGTATTTCGCGTTCTTCAAAGCGTGTCTGAAGAAGGGGGAACCTGACAGTAGGATGATGGCGGCGATTCTGACGGGTGTTAATAGGGCATATCCTTTTGCTAAAGTAGATTCGAAGGTGTTAAACGAACACGTTGATGCTGTGTATAAAGTGGTACATCTTGGATCGTTTAATGTCTCCCTGAACGCCCTTAATTTGTTGTTTCAAGTAAGTGGAATCATATTTGTTGTAATTTATTTAATATTTAATATTTTATTTAATATTAAATATAAATATATATTAACGAGCATTTGTATTTTTTTTAGATTACAGGTAGGAACGAATCTCAGGCAGACAGATTTTATTCAACCTTCTACAGAAAATTATTGGACCGACAGTTAGGAATAGCAAGTAAACGGGCCCTATTTCTGAACTTGTTATATCGAGTTCTTCAAAAGGATCAAAGCGTGATACGGTTGTACGCTTTTATGAGAAGAATCTTACAAGTAACGCTCTATTTCTCCGCAAATATGGCTTGTGCTATATTGTACATCGTCTCGAAGATTCTTCAAGGACGCCAGGATCTGAGACACGCGTTGCTCGAGACGCACGAACCCGTTAAAATCGAAGCTGACGAGGTGTGCGAAATAAATGACAGAGAGTCGGACATAGAGGAGGTCTGCGTAGTGGAGAAAGCTAAGAAGAATGAGGAAGATTCAATTATGTTGTCGAATGTCACGATTAGCGCGTCAGAAACTAAGTCCGAGATAAAGGAAGAGACGGAGGATATCAAAGTCGACGTGCGGAATATAAAAAAAGCGTACGATCCTTTCTGTCGTAATCCACTCTTCGCGGGAGCGAGCGCAGGATTTAACACCGAACTCGCAGCATTGTCCAAGCACTTTCATCCGAGTGTCGCTTTATTCGCGAACCAGATTATTCGAGGTAAATTTGATTGATTTCATATATTTTTATTCAATGTAAAATATTGTCCCATTTTAATCGATCAATCCCAAAATTTTTTATATTTTTGATCGTACAGCAAAATGTGTTTCAAAAGTTGTTTGATGTGAAAACAAACGAGATGGTGTTATTGATTTTTTTAAGGACGTTTTTCAAGGTCATTTAAAGGTCAATTGTTTTTTTAAATGGAACCACTATATTTTTTTATATAAATCGATTCTTTGTAATTTTTTTAAACACTGTTGTACGATCAAAATAAAAAAGTTTTTGGGAATGATTGATTAAAATGGAACATCCTACAGTTTATATATGAATTATTTTTCTTTATTTATAGGAAACCCGATTACGTATACGGGTGATCCGCTGGAGGATCTGACGTTGGTTCGATTCTTGGATCGCTACGTCTTTAAAAATCCGAAGAAGCTGGAGGACAAGAAGATGCAGAGGAAGAACGATCCCTTGGCACAACGCACAGGATACACGCCTAAAGGAATACGTTCCTTGCCCGTCGACAGCATGGCGTATCTCAACGAGGCGGAGGAGCGAATACCGGTAGACGAGTTGTTTCTATATCAATACCTGAAGAGAAGAAACGAGATGAAGCAGCGTGTCAAACGAGAAGATGATGATGATGATGATGCTGATGATGATGCACAAAGTGTTAATAGCGAGGAATTCAATGATATGCTGGATCGTATGGGCAGTGGTCAAGATGTTGATGATTTAGACATCGCAGGAAATATTGTACCTGAGAAGAAAAGTACTATTATATATTATTTTTGTAAACACATTATTTATATATATTATTTTTATCATTTTTTCAAGCATATGAAATATGCTTTTTTGTCTTTATATGTCTTTAAAGAGAAAGAATTTTTTTTTATATTCAAACTTAATAACTTCAATGTTTCATGTAATTAAGGAAACTATAAATAATATACAATATATAATATTAAAATATTACATAATATAAATATATATATTATAATATAAATATATAATATTATATATATATATATAATTTATTTTAATTATATTAATAATTTCAGAAGCTAAAAAGAATAAAGAATTGGATGACAATGAGGAGGATGATGTTGAAGATAGCGAAGATCAATCTGAAGATGAAGATATTGTTAATAATGATGATACATCGGAAGATCTTAATGAAGATAATATTGATAATGAGTTGCAAGATTTAAGTGATATTGACCTCTCAGACATGGATAATGATGGGGATTTGAGTGATATAGAGTTTAACGATTCCGATAACGAAGAGGTTTTAGATGACGAATTAATTTCCGATTTGAATAGAAAGTTAATGACGAAAAATTCGAAAGGCAAAGAGAAGGGAGGAAAAATCGACAGCGATATATTCATGTCGGCAGAGAAATTTGCCGAGATGTTGGAAGAACAGAGCAAAACGAAGGGAAAACACGGTAGTAGTAACACTTTTAGCAGCAGCGACGGAGCTAGCGCTAAGCAAATAGATTGGGAAGTGAAACGGCATCAACGATTGAGAGGATCATTCGGGAAAAACAAACGAAAGTCTAACCAATCTAATAATAAACAGATTAAAAAGTTCAAACGATAAATATGTAATAAACATATTTTATAGATGTAATTTTTACATTCGTTTATATATATAATAGCCCCTTTTTCAATACAAAACAATTGAGAATGATAAACATTTATTTAATTATAATTATTTATATAATAGCACTTTTTTCTCTTCTCTTACGATTTTTAAACATAATCGTCATGATATATATTTCACTGTTATGCCATTTTTATGTAAAACAACTTTTAATATAGATATTCCTTTTTCCTTTATTGACACAACATTTTTCTTATATATTAATCAAGATAACTTCAATAATGGAGCACAATAAGTCATCTTTAAATACAATAATAAAATTAAATCATTCCCAAGTGAGTTAAGAAATATAAAATTATATAAGTAAAAAATAAATAATTGTAATCATTTTTAATCTTTTCTTTTGATGATTTATTAAAAAACATGATGTTTTATTTTATAATTTGTAATTTATGTTATTTGGATTTAGAAATTTAAAATCTTTATGGACACAAATGATTTTTGTTCAATTCACATTTTTCATTTAAAATGTAATCTAGAAAAACTGAAAAAAATTTAGAAGAAAAATGAAAAGAAAACTGCATTACAATTGATATTTTGTCACTATTTATTAATGTACATAAAGCTATTATCTTTGAATTATTATTCAAATGAACTTTTGAATAATTATATAGTTTATTTCAAAATATTTATATAACAGACTCCTCTTTGTGTCTTTGAATATCATTAAAATTTTTTCAAGGGAATTTCTAAATGACAAGGTCTTTGAAAAATTAGATCAAAATTGTTTTGTCCTTATCAAATATCAACACAAATGTTAAATACTATTATATCTACACGAATTACCCATTTACCTTCTAGATTTTTAACAGCACTCTCAATTACTTAAGATATACATGCTATACAAATTCCAAATTTCATGAATATATGCTGTAATTAAAATGTAATACATGTAAAACAATATAGTCTAAACAATTATTTAAACGTTCCATTGCATTACTTGTTACTTAAAAATTTTCAGCAACATTATGTACATAGGATACAAAATTAGAAGAAAGTAGAAGGGAAAATAGGTCTTTCACATAGATAAAAAATAGCCATCTGATACATCTGATGTACAACACGACTGTGACAGCTCGCTTAGTAAGTCTCTGAGATTTGTAAAAAAATGTTAAATCTATTTTATATTTGCAGTACGTGCAATGACAACTTTGTAAGATGTTCATTTGTTTCCTCTTTCTTAACGCGCAGTTAAAAAACATCGCTAAATGCGATATATCCTAAAGCGAGCGGTATATGTGTATCTGTAAACTGGACGCTACTCTGGATCAGGTTTGGTGGAGTTTTCCTCGTCATGGGTAGGGCTGTGCCATGTAAGTCGTTCCTCGTAAAACTTAATTACAATCTGTGGACATTTCTCGTTGGCAATGCGCGCGGGAACTAAATCGGCGTCGTCCGTTCCTTTCCATTTCATCAAGAACATCAGCTCGCCACTGGAATCTGTCGCACCGATGATACGTTCGGGTTCCAGATTTCTGTCAAATCCTATAATATAGAATAACAAATTAATCTATTGAAAAGGAAACAAAAATTGAAATTACAATTGATTTAAAATTAAAATGAAATTCGAGTTTATTTTCATTAAAGCAGGAACATACAGGGGCTTTAATATTTTCCAAAATAAGGGGAAAAAAAATTGTCGATGCTTCCCTCCTTTACCTTCCGGCTTCTTTTCTTCTACTACAGACTTCTTCTTAGCTTGAGTAGGCGTCGGTGTGCTGGCGCTTTTTCGTTTTTTCTGTTCCTTTTCCTCGTAACGTTTTCCTGACGCCGCTGCCTCCTTCTTCTTTCGCTGTTCTTCAAACTGTGCAATAAGATCCGGGCAGTCTAAATTTTCTTCCGGTTCCCACGTATTTTCATCATTGGAATATCCCTTCCATTTTAGGAAATATTCCACCTGTAATTTGAAGAAATATCTATTTAGAATCATGAATCTTAGCAATTCAACAATGCAAATTATAAACAGGATCTTACATACCTTTCCCTTCACAACTCTTCTATCTAAAACTTTCTCCACACTGAACTCCTCTTCTGTTTCATTGTCCACCGTAGGTGAATCTTTGACTTTGCTCATTTTTGTACTGTAAATAAATGTCGCAATTAATATTCTTGTCCTTAATCTGGAAAATCATCATATATAGATACAAATGTAAGAAATAAAAGACAATTCATTAATATTCTTGTCTTTAATCTGGAAAATCATTATATATAGACACAAATGTAATAAATAAAAGAGATAAAGTTGAAAATGTTCAAGTTGTAGAGGCACAAAAGTGATGAAACATCACAGAAAAATATCCTTTCCCTCTATCGCTTTCTCTCAACAAAACAAAAGACTTGTCATCGACTCAGTTAGCAACAGCATAATATATATATGCAAATAAGCTGTTTCTAAATAAGATTATACGCCGAGGCGTATAATTTCCTGAAAAAAATCTATTGTATATATTCCAGAATTGTAAAAAAATAACAGAAAAAATAACAAAAGTGAAGTCTAAAAATTCGCGCTAACCAACGCGACCGTACATAATTCTCGTTTTCCCTGTGATCGGACTCACGAGCGAGAAATCGGAATAAAATTGTCGGAAAATCAGGGAAGACTCACTGTTAGAGCGCGACTGCAAAATTAAGCGCGGACTTGCGGCGAGCAGGTTTCAAAATGGCGGAGTTGACGGCGAGGACGCGTTTTACCGGTACTCGTGACTCAATGACACTGCGTACTTGGACTTTATTTCGCGTTCGTGGAAAATCTAAACGCCAGACGGGGGATACTCGGGTACTCACCTAGGGCGTTATTACACCGCGTCCAAGAAATCTCGTCCTCGAGCACTCGAATCGCCTGTTGATTATTCCGTCGAACTACTCCGATGCGAGACCACCTTTTCAACTGTTTCGCAGTCACTCACGCGCGTTGCCGCGAAAAATCTAAGGTTGTCAACCCACCAGGGCGAAAAATACCTAGACTTTTCTCGACAAACGAAAATTCAAGTTCCATAAGGAATTTGGGACATTTATTTGGACACGTTTTGTAGGAATTTTTGGAAAAAAACAAATTGATTGAAGTTATTAAAACATTTATATTCAATTAGAATTTTATTTCTTAATTCTTTTAAAATTTATAATAACAAATAACAAAAAAATTTTGATTTTTATAATTATATAAATCTTATATAAAAATATTTTTTAATAATTTTAAATAATTTATATATTTTTAAATCATTTTTAATTTTAAATATTTATATATAAATATTTTTTGGTTGTAATTGCAATTTATGACAAATAAACATAAAAATTAATAATATATTTTAATTAAAAAATAATAAATTTTAAATTCACAAATAACTTGTTAATTCGAAAGTACCTTTTGTTAATTCGAAAATAACTTTCGTTAATTCGAAAGTAACTTTCGTTAATTTGAAAGTAACTTTTGTTAATTTGAAAGTAACTTTTGTTAATTCGAAAGTAACTTTTGTTAATTCAAATGTAACTTTTGTTAATTTGAAAGTAACTTTTGTTAATTTAAAAGTAATTAATTTTTTTAACATTTAAAGAATTTTTTACCCAACTCTGAACGCAGCTAATTACGTCGCTCGGCGGTCTAGGGACCCTAGGGTAATCGACCAATCGGAGGATTTCGTGTCTAATTGAGTACATGTCGAACACGTATGAACTCGACTTTGAATCGAACATCTGATTTCTGTGACGCGCTGTTGCTTGGCAAAGTTAAGCAAGGTCTTCGAGGTATCTCGTGTTAAAATAGCATTCGCCAAAGGACCAGTATGTATTGAATAATCATATTTTTCTTCATCGCGCAAAGGATTTTTATTAATGAATATTTCACACGTAGATTATTCACAATATAATAATAGGTCGAAATGGCTGCCCGTTCGGTTCTGAGATATTTGAAACCAAAGCCCGTGATACTCCAGAGTCACCGATATGCCTCTCTGTCCGGGTTCGATATTCAGCACAAGACTCCCACCGTCAAGAAGGTGATGGCCATACCAAAGGCCCAGTACGGTGGTAGGCACACCGTCACCATGCTTCCTGGAGCTGGTATCGGACCAGAGTTAATGAATTATGTCAAGGAGGTGTGTAAACATCATTTGGAACTTTAGGAGCAGACTGTCTTAAAGATAGAAGGCATATTGGTCTTCCATCCGGAGCTAAGATATTCAAGAAACTTGTGTGTCTCATTGATTCATTTATGAGGAATTTAAGTGATGGAAGATAATAAGAAACTTGTTTATAGATTTATTTACGAGAAATTTAAGTCTCTCTTATGAATGTATTTCGTAAAATTTGTTGCTAATCTATAAACCACAAGTTTCTTAAATCTTCCATCCGGTGCTAAGTTTCAATACAAGTTTCTTAAGTCTTCCGGAGCTAAGATAATCAAGAAACTTGTGGCTCATTGATTCATTTATGAGGAATTTAAGTCTCTCCTATGAATGTATTTTATAAAATTTGTTGGTGATCTGATTCTTAATAGAGTATATCAATTTATATAATTTTATATAATAATATTATACAATTTCAATATTTATTATCTAATAAGATAGTAAATATAAAAATTGTATAATTTTATTATATACAATTATATAAATTAATATATTCTATTAAGAATCAGATTGTCTATAAATTTTATTATCTTAATATACAATAAATTATCTTATTAGAATACAAAATTATCTTATTAGATAATAAATATTAAAATTGTGTAGTATTATATATAGAATTATATATAAATTGATATATTCTAATAAATTAGATTGTCAGCAAATTTTATGAAATACATTTATAAGAGACTTAAATTTCTTGTAAATAAATCTATAAGCCACAAGTGTATTAAATATCTTCGAGATTAGCTCCGGAATATATTTATTATAATTTATTAAAATTATTATATATATATATATATATATATATATATATATTTATAATATATTTATTAAAATTTCTATTTCTTATAATCTTGTATCTAATTTAAAATCTGCTTTCTAGGTGTTTAAATACGCTGGAGTGCCGGTGGACTTCGAGGACGTCGACATCGACCCGAAAGCGGACGACAACGTCGACCTGGATTTCGCGATCACATCGATACGCCGAAACGGAGTGGCGTTGAAGGGTAACATCGAGACCCACAGCACGGAAGCCAGCGTGATCTCGCGGAACGTCGCTCTGCGAAACGAGCTGGACCTTTATGTGAACGTTCTCCACTGCGTGTCCTACCCAGGCGTGAATTCCCGCCAGAAGAACATCGACATAGTGATCGTCCGGCAGAACACCGAGGGCGAGTACTCCATGCTGGAGCATGAGAGCGTCTACGGCGTGATCGAGAGCATGAAGGTCATCACGAGGTCGAACTCGGAGCGAGTTGCGCGTTACGCGTTCGAGTACGCGAAGAGGAACGGCCGGAAGAAGGTCACCACCGTCCACAAGGCGAACATCATGAAGCTATCGGACGGCCTTTTCCTGGAGATCTCGCGCCGAGTCGCCAAAGACTACCCGGACATCATCCACAACGACATGATCATCGACAACTGTTGCATGCAACTGGTCTCAAATCCCCATCAGTTCGACGTGGTGCTGACCACCAATCTCTACGGCGCCATCGTCTCCAACGTGGTCTGCGGGCTGCTGGGCGGTGCTGGTCTTCTGTCAGGGAAGAATTACGGCGACCATTACACCATCTTCGAGCCGGGGACCCGCAACACCGGCACCAGCATCGCCGGCAAGAACATCGCGAATCCCATCGCGATGCTGAACGCTGCGGTGGATATGCTGCGTCACCTGGGTAACAAGCATCACGCCAGCATCATACAAAACGCGATCAACAAGACTATCAATCAAGGAATTCATACTCGTGACCTCGGCGGCACCGCCACCAGCAGGGAAGTTGTCGACAATATACTGAAGCACATCAAAATCGCGACCGCTTAAGACTGAATTTTTATTCTAAATAGAAACCTCTCGTAGCGACTCTCTGTCCACGGAAAAGTGACGAGTTCAATATGTTATACTAAAAGTATTAAATCATTTCTCTTTCTCCTTTTTAGTGAAATAATGATAGCCAGGTAGAGCAAACTGACGTCATTTTGATGTTTAATGACGTCATTTAATTTCTCTTTCTCCTTTTAATGAAATAATAATTTCCCAGGTAGCCAACTCACGTGATGTCGACATCGATGACGTCAATTTGCTACTTGGGATGCTAAGATAGTTGCGATAATTATACGATTAAAACCTGCAAAATATCTCGCACAAAATCATTACGAATACTTTTTGAAGTTTTAACTTGCTATAAATTACAATGTGCTCTGTAATATAGCAATAATAATAATTATGTAATAATGTAGTAATAATTGGAATTTTGTATAAAAATACATAATGTATATTATAAGAATATTAATAGTAGAGCAGTTCCTACGGATAAATTTAACAAATATCAAAGTATTGTGACTATCGTTGCTGTGAGAATAATTTGTATAAAATGCGAAAACCACTTGTTATATATAGCTTGTTTATTAAAATACTCATTCATACTTAAGCAAAAAAATATGGTTATAATTTATTAAACTGTGACCAGATATTCACTTATATCGCTTTAGTACAATTTTATCTAGATGAATTAAAAATTCTAACACAATGTTAAATTACACTTTATTACTTTAAGATTACATTGTGTAAAATGTATATATATATATATATATATATATATATATATATATATATATATATGTATATACGTCGTGTTCATATGAATAAAATGTATATTTACATTTCTAAAGAAAATACTGGGAATTAATTTTGTAACAGCTGCAAAGCTAATTCCTCATCGGCCTGTAAATGAGCAACATTTGACGTTTTCTGCTTTTTTCTTTTATGCTCCTCTTGTGTCACCAATTTTCTTTTGGACGGCCTGTAAAAATAATCGTGAAGAAAAGTCCTTGAATTTATTCAATCTTATTTATTAAAAAAGAATTTTTACCTGTGAATGAGATTTTCTTCCTCAGACTCAGTTTCTTCAAATTCGCTAGAGGATGATTCTTCTTCATCTGTATTTCGTTGCTTGCCGTATATTTTATCTGGGTCAGGTAACCATGAGAGATCAGGACCTTCACCTTCACTAGATTCATCTTCGCTAACATCATTGTCTGCATCTTCTTTTTTGAGTAAAGAAGCACCTTCCTCTTCTTCATCATTTTCTTCTATCTTCTTGGCTTTCAGTTTTCTCTTCTCTTCTCTGTGCTTCTCTTTAATCTTTTCTCTGAATCTTTGTTTATCGAACTGATCCTCCTCGCGCAATATTTGTTTAGCTAATTCAATATTAATACCAGACTCGACTTCATCTTCATACTGTCGAGCTAATGCTGACATTTTCGTTTTCGTAGAATCGACTACTTCCTGAGGGGGAAAAAAAATTTCATTAATCTCTATTTTGATTTAGAACAGGTTTTTTCAGTTTGAGAAAGAACTTTTCTTTTAGACAATGTTCTCTTTAGTTTTCATTAATTTCTCAACGAGTGTGTAAGTCAATTATAAATCTGAGTTTTAATAGTTTAAAAATTATATATATATTATTGATAATTAATTAAATTGAAACTATTGAAAAATTATACATATAACATTGTTATATAAAATGCTTAATGTAATTCTTACTTGTCCCTCATCATCAAACGTGGTCTTTTTGTTAGGTACAATGTTCTTTCTGAGAATCTTTTTAGCCAGTGCAACCTTTGTAATGGGTTTCTTTTTATTCTTTGTCTCATCTTTTTCTATCACCGGTATTTCACCATCAATATCTACATTTTTCCTTTTTATAGTTAATATGTCATCATCATCACTATCATCTACAAAAAATTATACACGAAATTTAATATGGTTAATTAAATAAATTATTAATTTATTATCAATAACTATTTTAATTATTAATAAATTATTTTAATTGTATAATTATTTTAATTATTAATAAATTACTTATATATTAATAATTATATATTTTAATTATTAATAAATTATATATATACATATATATATATTATTAATTAAATTAAATTAATTAAAAATTGCATTTTGTGTGCAACAGAAATAAAATAGTCAGCTTTTATATATAAGATAATAAATATTTTTTCCTTTTTTACCAAATTGAAGAGGAACAAGATCTTCCTTTTTAATCAGTTTCTTTTCACTATTTGTTGTAGTATTAGGAATACTCGTGTCAGAACTATCTCTATCTTCCTGTTCACTATTATCTTCCGAATCGGTGGAAATTTTATTTGTCTCTTCTTGTCCAGTCTCAATGCTATTTTCAGCTAACATTTTTTTCTGCATTCTTTGTAAGAATCGGATTCTCGGAGGAATGGCTAAACCTAATGATCTGAAGAAAAAAAATCAATCTGCAAAATGCTCAACATATATATCTATTGATTTATATTTAATTTTTTAAACTTACTTGGCATACGCATCTGTGTCTAAAGAATGCACATTGAAGAGTTCTTTATCCTTCATTAAGAAAACCGATTTGACATATGCGACGAAAGCTCTCTGAGCTGTTTCTTTTAATGTCACATCTCGCGCTAATAAAGCTTCAAGTTTACGATGTGGCGACTGCAGTTTGCTTGGATTGATTCTATATATAAAAATAATTGGTGAAAAATTTTATAATTTTATAATTGGTGAATATAATTTTATGTTAGATGTAAAACTTATATATAATGTATATAATAACTAATATTAATAAATGTATAATAAATCTTACTTTATCATATTTATTGGTATTTTACGTTGTTTAAGCTTTTCAATCATTATCTCTTCGGATGGCAGCAGAACTAGGAGAGATTCGCCACAACTTTTAAATCTGGCGGTTCTGCCTGCTCTATGTATATAAGCATTCACGTCTTCTGGACAATCCATTTGGAGTACCCAATTTACAGCAGGAAAGTCTGCAAAATTGCGATATTGTGTTATTTCAATTTAATGATAATTATAAAAAATTTTTATTCTATATATTTTATTTTTGTTGCACATAAAATGCAATTTTTTAACTAATTTAATTTAATAATAAATAATTTATTATAATTAAAATAATTATATAATAATTATATATCAAATTATAATTATATAAAAGTTCTCTGATAGAAATTTAAATATTCTAAGTAATGTTTTAGAATTTAATTACCTAATCCACGAGATGCAATATCAGTGGCGAATAAGACGGCGTGTTGCTTTTTGCAAAATGATTCGTAAATACTCATCCTCTTCAATTGATGAAGTGTACCATAAAGAGCTAATAAACTGATGCCAGGACGTAGTCGACAAAACGATTCGTGCATGTATTTCACCTATAAAATTGATTTTAGATAAGTAAATTATTTTAATCAACAATTAAATATTTTTGGCATTAATAAATAATAATTACCTGTTTGCAGCTGGAAAAGAACACAATAATCTTCTGCTTCAGATGATTTCGTATAAAGGACCACAGCATTGCTGTTTTATCTTCTAAGGAACATACAATATAACTTTGCTGCAAACTTTCCGGTGTGGTGTGCGTAGAGTGTTCATGCACAGACACATATAACGGATCCTTGAGACTTAATCTTGCTAGGTCCTTTACAGATCTAACAGAAATATGTAAAATATGTATAATATATTCTAAAAAAAATTCTAATTCCATGTAATTATCTTTAATTACGTTTATATATATTTACACATATACATACTTAGTCTGAGTTGCTGAGAAGAGTAAAGTTTGTCGTTTAGGTGGTAAATTTTCAATAATGGAATTCATGGTCCTTTCGAAACCCATGTCTAAACAACGATCCGCTTCATCCAACACTAATATCTACAATTTATCAATTTTATTAATCTTTTTTTATAGTTAAGAACATCATTTTCAATATTTTATGGTAGTTTTTTTTCAAAAAATAATATTCTTAAAATTTTAAATATTGACAATGGATAGTTTTAAAGAGTAAATATTCTTTTTATTGTTGATTTTTAAAATAAAATAAAAACTTTTTCATCTATTCAAAGTTTATTCAATATTTATCTTCTCAAAATAATTATACTTTTTCAATCTAAGACACTATTTTTTTAAATTCAAACTGCTTCTATAAAATTATAATTTAAAAATATTTTAATTTTATAATAGTATAACTTTTTGAAAAAAAATTTTAAATCTTAATTTCAAGCAAATCTGTTTTAAGTTTTTAAATTTGCATTACACAATTAATAAAAATTATAAAATGTAAATTCTAGATTTAAAATGCACATACCATGTTTAATTGAAAAAGAAAGACATTTAATTACCTGCATATTTATACAATCAAATAACGGATTCTCATCCATATGGTGGAGCAAACGTCCTGGCGTGCATATAACTATGTTGCACTGATCCATACGTTTCCTTTCAAATTTCAAATCCTTCCCTCCTATAATCAGACCAGCTGAAATATCATGATACTGGCCTACTTTCCGCAGTGTCTCATAAATTTGATACGCCAGTTCCCTTGTCGGTGTTATAATTAGTGCGCCCAGACCATCCAATCTTGACCATTGTTTGCAGTATAAGAGTTCTAAAACCTACAATAAAATAACTAATCAATGCTGTATCGTATTGAAAATATATACTTGTGAGAGTCATCAGAGTTCGTACTGGAATGAGAAAAGCCAATGTCTTGCCGCTGCCAGTTTTTGCAGCTCCCAAGATATCGTTGCCCTGCAAAGCCAGGCCAATGCTTTGTCTCTGGATATCCGTCATATCCACATACTTATTCTCCGCCAAACCTTTTAGGGTAAACTTCGATAAAGGAAGGTGATTGAATTTTGTTGCTTTAGTGACATCTATCTACAATTAAGTTGCAATTAATTTTACATTTTTTTGACATTGTTACATCTATTTACATGTTTTGTAAAATCATGTAAGGTGTAAAGTATTAATTATTTTATTACTTTTATCTTCATTTTTACAAAGGTATATATTAGATCCCACATTATATTTCTTTGATGAAGAAGCATAATGTAATATTATAGACACTTAATTATATTTTTACACTTTTATTTTAAAAAATGAGTAATTATTTTTTATGTAAGGTGAAATAGCACATGTTTTGTAAAATTATGCACTTACTGTGTTATACTTGGAGCATAACTCTTGAATTATTTTCTTCTCTGGTATGCGTTTTTTCTTTACATAAGCCTTCACCTTCTTATTCTGCATTGTTATTTATTTTTTTGACGTTTCTTCGACTTTTAAATCGTATCAAAAAGCATCAATTATTATATTTCTACTTTATTCTTGAGGTTATACGATGCTAACAACACAAACACATGGCAGACATAAAAGAAAAAAGAAAATAACACCGGTGTGATGTTATGTTAACCTCGGTTTAATTGATGGTATGTTTATAAAATTTATACTTATTTTATTAATTTAACACTTAAATGAGTTTTCGTATGTTAAAAAATATTGTGTAACATTATGTTGTAGAAATTTCACTTGAAAAGGACCACAACCAAATGGTCGAAACGTCGTGAAATAATCAAATAAAATTGCTAGTTACGTCGTAGTCAAGTCGTTTAAGAAAAAAGAAAGTTCGATGTTCGATTAATCGATTACTGTCGATATTTCTAAGGTTCGATATATCGACTTTTGATTTAAAAATAGATTTATTTTCATTTATTTTCAAATATTTTATGTAAGTTGAATATACAAAAATTGTTAATAATAATCAATTATAAAAATAATTAGTTTTTAAATATAAAAAAATAAAATCAATATATCGATTTTATTTTGTAATAAAATTAATTATTTTTATTTTTATTGATTCTTTTTATATTGTTTTTTTTTCAATATTGCGCAACTCTATTATTTTTTAGATTTTTATCAATTTTATTAAAATTTTTTCTTGATTATTAATTTAGTCAAATTGATATATTAGTTAATCGAAAAGTTTAATTTAAACTACATTTTATTTTTGTAAAATTAAAATTTTTATTGATTCTTAATTTAGTCAAATTGATATATTAGTCAATCGAAAAGTTTAATTTGAATTACATTTTATTTTTGTAAAATTGACTTTGACCTGAAAAATCATCTAAAGAAATAATTACTCCTATTTTTTAAAATTATTTCTCTAAATAAAAGTATAAAAATAAAATTAAGTGTTTATGTAATATTACATTATAGTTCTTTAAATCATTTTTATTTTATTTTATTTGTCCTAAAATTTTAAAAAGAAATTATCATTTTTAGATGTTTTTTTTAGATCAGTGTCAATTTTACAAAAATAAAATGTAGCGCAAATTAAAATTTTTATTGACTATTAATTCGAATTTTATTTTATTTTAACAAATAAATAATTTTAATACATATAATAAAACTAAATAAAACTGACTTGAAAAATTATCTAAAAATAATTACTCATTTTTAAAATAAAAGTGTAAAAATATAATTAAGTGTCTATAATATTACATTATGCTTCTTTATCAAAGAAATATAATGTGGGATATAATATATATCTTTGTCAAAAAGAAGATAAAAATAATAAAATAATTAATATTTTAGTTTTTTTATCAGAATTAAAAATAGAAATAAAAAAGGAATAATTAAGATAAAAAACAGATTTTTATTTATTAATCTCTTTTATCTTAAAAATTAATTTTGCAAATTTTTATTTCCATATCTTTCCATTTATTTTTTTTTGCTAGTCAGTGTTACTTTGAATAATATATAGCAGTATTGCTTTGACAGAGAAGTGGGTAACCCCATAAATGCATTCTGCGGATGATGTTGCAGTATTATATGAATCAGTGTCAATAGAAGAGAGACATGGAACTGTTATTAAAAAGCATATGTGTGGAATGCGTTCGCGTCATCTAAGCGACAGTTGCATGTAAGCACATAGTGTGCTTAGATCGCAGAAGCAGAAAATTAAACTAAAAGAAGAACATTTTGTAATAACTTGGCACAAAAAAGGTTTCACACTCTCTCTCAAATATTATATATTATATATATTATCTAAAAAATAGGGAATGTTGAGCGGAAAGAAAACGAATAAAGTAATAAGAAGAGAAGAAGAAAGCGGGAAGAATTAAATTTTAATTAATTTTCTCATTAATTTTATTCCAAAAATTTTGAGAAAAATATGTTTTGAAGAGGAGAAGATACTATGCAACCAACAAATCACGCAAGAAGACAATGGAGAATGTTACGATCTTCATGGATCGTGCTCTTTGTGTATCTCTTGCTTCCAGCATCGCTCATATCTGCTTTTCATCCAAATACGACGGATATCCTGATGCAAGATATAGGTAAGTAAAATTGCTATACAAATAAATCAATTAAAAACAATTTTTTAAATTATTTCAGCAATAGCTTCTTTTGAAAAAATTAATTCTTCTTCGATAGAAATGTCGAAGTATAGACTTTTTCTGTAATTAGTAATTAAATAATTTTTTGAATTTCATATTTTTTTTATAATATAATATTATATAATATAATAATATTTTATTTTGCGGGAAAAAATATATTTTACTATAAATTAATATACATATAATTAAAAAAAATCATATAATTAAAAAAATAATTTTTTGAATTTTATATATTTTTTATAATGTAATATTATATTATATAATAATATTTTATTTCGCGGGAAAATATATTTTACTATAAAATAATATACATATATTTATAACTAGATATTTCTAATGATATACAATAGATTTGAGTTTTAATAATCTATACTTTTAAATATGCTTAAAAGAATAATGTAATTTTTTTATTAATCTTATTTTAACATAACTAGAATTATTTTTTTCAATCTCGATATTAATTAAGATATTGTTTCCTTTTTTTAAATATTTGAAAAGAATATAAAGAAATGTACAAAGAAAAAATTATATACATAGATTTATAGAAAAATTTTATTTTTGAAATACAATAATGTTAAGTTTTATTTACGAATTTTATTGCAGATATCAATTAAAAATAAGCTAAATATAGTTTCAGAAATATTTTCAAAGTAAAAAGTGCTATATGTAATAAATAAATATCAGTAAAAATATAAATATAATATAATTTTTAGAAAAGTTATAATAAAACAAGGAAATATTTAATTAGAATAAATTTCTATATATATATTAGATTTTAAATAAAATTTATTGAATCAATTAGACAATAATCTTATTGTCAGTTAAATAAATTCTAAAAATAAAAATTTATTGCTTTCTATATATACAATTTTAAAATCGTAATTGAATAATTGTTTTAATATTATTTATATGAATCATCTTAGTTTATTTTATTATATACTTTCGAAATTGAAGAAGAAATCTATGTATGTCATAATTTTGTAACACATTATTAATTTATAATTAATTATATAATTATTAATTTATAATTAACAATTGCACATTTCACAATTCATTAGATATTTTTAAAATAAATTTTAATTGTATAAGAAGAAAAAGAAGACTATATAAAGAAAAAAATTTTTGTTAGAAAATATTAAAACACTCTGTAATAATTGTATTGTCTGACAATTATTGTAAAGAAGAAGAGGAATTAGGAAAGAGTTCTACTTTCTTTTAGATGGTGTGAGCTCATTGTTGGTAGATGGCTTCTAACTGATCTCTATTGCGCTAATTGACATGCGGCATGCAAAGTTGCATGTTGCAGTCGAGTTGGAGTCTTCTTATAAATTGATCCAGACAGTCGCCCCAATGATGAGTTATGACTGGGCCATGGGTTACTAGGTTTTTAGTTGTTCGTCGTATCTTATTATTGTGTTTATTAGTATTATTTTTATCCTCTGTTCTTTTTACTCAATTGCTGTATTGAGAAGAAAAAATAAATATGACTTCAAAAGTTTATGGACATCAAATAGACATTTTATTCCCATACAGCACAAAATATATTATAAATGTTTTCAAAAAATATTTCTAAATATTTCTATAAAATATTGCATAAAACATTTTAAAATGGTTTTAGGAATGTTATTAAATGATTAAAACATTTTTTGTGATAACATTTTTTAGAATATTTTACAAAACTTTTAAAAATGTTCTTCTTTATCGCTTAGATAATATTTTCTTAAATATTTTTTAAACATGAAAAAGCGGACATAGAAACATTTTAAAAATATTTTCGACAGAATTATTTCATTTTTTAAGAAATATTTTCAAAAAATTTTAAAAATATTTTGTGCTGTATGGGTTGTTTCTCTGAAAAAAAAATTTGCAGATGTAATAAAAATTAAATTCATCTCATAAAAAATGAGAAAGGCCAGATTTTTCTCCTTTTTTTAAATAATTGTTAATTATTTTTATTTTAATTTTCTTTTAATTCTATTTCAGCAAGAAATGTAGTGGATCTAATTAAAGCCACAGGGATGCAAGAGCAACTTTTTGGAGTAACGACGACACAAAATCGTTGTGGAGATGACATGGTCGCGTACGAGATTACGGAAGCTGCGATATTGATGACTCATACTAATACGTTTCCATCCGGTATACCTCAAGATTTCTCTATTTTAATCGTCGCAAAGCCAAAAGCTAGTAAGTATCAGTTCTAGAAAATTTGTAATTATGCAGTAGTAATTAGAATTTAGATGCAGTTATTTCGATATTTTTGCTTTAAGTAGAACGTTTTTTTTAATTATATCAATGTATTGTTAATTATAACTTAATAAAAAATTGATGTAAAATTAATTTTAGAGTTTTTATTTATGGAAGAAATAATAAGAAAAATTGTTAATCAATATTTTTAGTATTATTATCAATATTTCAAACATTTAAAAAGACAGTCAATATTCCATAATATTATTGTTTCATTTGTTCTTACAAATTTAATTAAACTATGCTAAAATATTTCTTGAATTTTTCGAAATTATTTAAACGGCTTTGAAATCTTATTATAAAAAATACATTTAGATATAAATAAAATAAATGATTACATTAATACTAATCAAATTAATATTTAATATTTTATTATATAAATATAGAACCTTTGTCTAAAATTTATTTATTATGTTATATTATATTGAATTATTAAATAATAATTATTTTATATGTATTAATATAAATTGTGTGATGTAATAAAAATTATTTTTATAATTTATAAATTATAAAAATAATTTTTATTACATTACACAATTTATATTAATACATATATAATAATTATTATTTACTATAAAAATAATTTATAAATTATTATATTTAAATATAAATTATAAATATAAATTATATTTAAAAATAATTTATAAATTATTTTTATTTTATTTTTATTATCTATTATATATTTCTATTATTAATTATTCTATATTTACATAATAAAAATTATAATTTTATTATCTTTATTAATCTTTGTTTAAAATTGTTGATTGTAGATCACACAACGTCGATTCTCTTTACTATCTATGGCGATTCCGGCGAAGAACAGTTGGTTCTTTCGTTAGGACGCAATCTCAGCCTCATCTACAACACAAATGCAAATAAACAGAATGACGCAATTCTTTTTGACGCCGATATTTCCGATGGGGAGTGGCATCGGTTAGGAATTAGCATCAAGGGTGACGCTGTCACGATTATTCTCGATTGTGATAGATATATCACGAGGAAGCTGGAAAGGAATCGCGAAAAAACAATCACCGGAATTTTCATGATTGGGCAACAGCTTAGAAGTGGTTTATATCTGGTAAAAAGGAAACAAAATTGTAATATAACATTTTGATAGAAATTTTTTTTTTTACAAAATTTTTTTTCTGGAAGATTTTAAGCTAGAAACAATAAAAATTAAAATTAAAATTACGAAATTGTTGCACATATTTTGCATCATTTTAGGGAGTCTCGAGATGCTGAAAATCGCCCCAAATCCAGATGCTGCTTATGAGATCTGCACGATATTTGCACCAGACTGTAAACATCAATATCAATTAAAACGCAGACTGAATTATAATGTATCATCAAGTGGGAATGACAATACTTACGAAAAAGAGAACGAGGAAAACTCGGACAAAGATGCTACGGATAACATATTAAGGTCAACAATTAATATTCCTGTAAGCATAAACATTAAGCAAATAAAATTAATATTTGAAAAATAATATAAATGAAGATTTATGATAATTTTATACACAAGTTGAAGGGATAAAATTATTATTTATTACAATAATATGTCCCATACAGCACAAAATATTATGAATATTTTCGAAAAATATTTCAAAATATTTAAATATAAAATATTGCATAAAAACATTTTAAAATGGTTTAGGAATATTTTAAAACGATTAAAAAATTTTTTGTAATAACATTTTTTAGAATACTTTAAAAAACTTTTAAAATATTTTTAAAAATGTTCTTCTTATCACTCAGATAAAATTTTCTTAAATATTTTATACATATTTTTGAAATATTAGTTATCTATATTCAAAAATATTTTTTAAACATAAAAAAGCGAACATAGAAACATTTTAAAAATATTTTCGAGAATTATTTCATCTTTTAGAAAATATTTTTAAAAGATTTTAAAAATATTTTGTGTTGTATGGGGTTGTATATCTCAGTGTGTTTATACATATAAAATTTCATATTTATACTAAATTATTTTTTAATAATAAAATTGTAATTTATATGAATAAATGACCTATGTAAAATATTAAAGCTATAAAAAAGCTATGAAATTCGAAAAAAGAAAGAAAATAGAAAAAGACAAAAAGAGAAAATAAATAATAATTAATATATGCATATTTTTAAATTGTTTATATAAAATACAAAATACATACAAAAAAATACTTACACACACATACAGAATCTTATGTTTTAAATATCTCAGTAAACTATCTGAAAAATCACACGATGTCAAAAGAAAAACTTTTCAGCTTTAAAATCAATATTTTAAAAATATTATATAATTTACAAGATTAATGATTAATGAAGAATCTTCCCAAGTAGCAAGCTGACGTCTTTAAACGTCAAAATGACATCAGCTTGCTACCTGGGTTCCTAAGCTAACTTGGGTTCTTTACTGATGTTGAATGTTTCAGGTAACTTACGGAGCGGAAACAGTGACAATCACAAATATGTACGAGGTGGAAGCAAATAATCGACAGTATTACGAGGAATCGACAATCAATCCTTATAACGAAGAGTACATACGTACTCTTCCGGCGCATCTCAACAAAATGTATTACACTCGAGGTGCACCAGGTCCTCGTGGATTCCCGGGACCACCAGGGATACCTGGACCTCCAGGCCAGAAAGGTGAGCCCGGTCGAGATGGATTGACCGGATTGCAAGGTGTAATCGGTCCACCGGGCAACGTTTTTGTAATACCCTTGTTGAGCCAACAAGGCACCGATAAGGGACCGGATTCCCAAGTAGAACTGATAAAGCAGTTATTATCGCAACACATGGTTTCAATGAGGGGCACAGAGGGCCCGATGGGCCTCACGGGTATTTCAGGACCCGAAGGACCGCCTGGACCTCAGGGCGAAAAAGGAGAAGTCGGGGATATTGGTGAACCAGGAGTTAGAGGAGAGACAGGTATGGAAGAGAATTTGATGTAATTTTTATAAAAAGTTTATTAATATTTATTATTATAAAATTATTTATAAAATATTTATTGCTTAAATATTAAATAATATTAAATATTTTTATTTACTATTTAAATATTAATTATTTATAATATATTTATTACTATAAAATTATTAGTTTCTATTCTTTAACATCAAAGAGATTAGAAAAAAAATTTAATTTGTTTTATTCCTTGGTTTTATAAATTGAATTCCTAATTTTTAAGAATAAAAATTCGATTTTGTAACACAAATTCACAAATTCCTTGTTATTTAAAAAAATTAAATTGTAATTTATATAAATAAATAAAATTAAAAAAAAGTTTATTTTCGCTAATATGAAAGCAATGTTTTTTTCGTAGGAATTCTTGGAAATCCTGGAAGAGAGGGTAGGAGGGGTCGTCCTGGCAGAGACGGCGAACGAGGCCTTACTGGACCTCCTGGGATGAAAGGAGAACAAGGACTGATAGGATTGCCAGGCTTACCGGGTGATAAGGGCGAACGAGGACCTTCTGGGACACCTGGAGAACCCGGTTTGCCAGGCCACGAAGGAATGCAGGGCGAGGATGGTCCTCCTGGTCTACCGGGTCTACCTGGTGAAATGGTGAAGTATATTAACATAATTATTATAATATATACATTTGAGGAATTTTCTTAAAAAAAAATATTGATAAATAGAGATATTAAAAAAAATACAGGATATATCACACAATGGATGATATATAAATAACACTTTTCAAAAATTTAAGACCACTAAAATTTCGCTAAAAAATAGAATATGATATAATGAAAAATATTATAAAAAATAAAAATAATATTGAGTATAAGATCCTCTGCCACCTAATTTTTAAACATTATTTTTTACAAAGCATATATTTTATATATTTTTTTGTATTTACAAGTAAGAGTAGTTCATTCATATATTTAAATTTAAATCATTTTTAGAAAATAAACCTGAAGGATAAAAAATAAAATTTTTATAAAATATTTACTTTCGCATTTCACAGGGTCCGAGAGGATTTATTGGACCAAGAGGTTTCCCTGGTTTACCAGGAAATCCCGGTATTACTGGAAACGAAGGTCCGCCCGGTGCTAAGGGTAATTCTGGACCGCCCGGACCATCTGGTGCATCGGGTCAACCAGGACCTATAGGAGCTGTGGGATCTCCTGGACCTCAAGGTCTACCAGGACCGATTGGTTTAGTCGTAAGTTAGTGTTTTTATGTTTTTTTAATTAAAATATTTCTTTTCTAAAAAAGGCATACATCATCGTGAAGATTAATAGTTTGACAGTTGTAAAATAAAAAATAAACATATTATTAATAATGCGCCCGCTTGTGTTGTCTGGTACATAACAAAAATTTAGAAATTAAAATTATATACATAATTAGAATTCGACAAATTAAAATTATGTATGTAATAAACATTCAAGAATTAAAATTAAAATATAAAATATATAATAATATAATAGTATAAAATTAAAATATAACTGTTTAATTTAATATACTGTAGCATCAATTATACCTGCACTATTTTTTAATGAAAATTATTGAATTGTATTTCTCAAATATGTATTAGTATTCTACTATCAGTTTATTATATTAACAATAATTTGCTATTATAATTAAATTTGATAACAAAATTAAGTTTGATTTATGAGTTGACACAGTTACTTTTACTTGTAACTTCCTACTGTATTAACAAATCTGCTTATAAATACTAAATTTATGTAGCATATATATATATATATATATATATAATTTTGTTTAAACCGAATATATTTACGCACGCGAAGCAAAGTTATATTATTTTTTGATAATAAAATATCAAAAATTGCGACGCATGCATGCAAAAATTATTATTGCAATCAATGCATAAAAATATATTAATTAATTATGCAACGCATAAAAATTCAATATTTAAATCTTTAACAGAAAATACGAATAAAAAAATAAAATTTTCTACAAAAATCTTGTGATCAAATTTCTACGCTTTTATTAGATTCGCGCGAGACTATACCCCATATATTCGTTACGTTGCGCAGTTCGCGCGAAACTGATTCTCGTTCGAGGTATCGCGAGCGCGGGACCGATAGTCACATGACCATTAATCACGTGACCACTGGTCATGTGACCATCGGGCCCGCGCTCGCGATACTTCGCTCGAGAATCAGTTTCGCGCGAGCCGCGCAGGGTGATGGATGTGTGGGTGTGGAATTTCGCACAAGTCTAATGAAAGCATATATATATTTGATTACAAAAGATTCTTATAAATATATAAATATATCATATTTTTTGAAATATTAGTTTAAATCTATATTCAAAAATATTTTTTAAACATGAAAAAGCGGACATAGAAACATTTGAAAAATATTTTCGAGAATTATTTTATTTTTTAAGAAATATTTTAAAAGATTTTAAAAATATTTTGTGCTATATGGGATGTATTAATCTGATGGAAAAGTTAGAAAGAGGCAGCTGCGTAGAAAATTATATTTTTTGTTTTCTGTTAAAAATTTATATATTAAATTTTTAGGAATCACGTAATTAATAAATATATTTCCATGCATGCATTGCAATAATAATTTTATACACGCATTGCAATTTTTAAGGTTTTATTACCAAAGAATAATATATAACGCTTTGCACACGTAATTATATTCGATTAAACTAAACAAAGTGAGAAAAAAAATAAATAGCTACATATATACAAAATAGTTCTCAAACAATACAATAGAAACTCGGCAAATTAAAATTATATGTACATAATAGAAATTCAATAAATTAAAATTATACACATAATAGAAATTCGGGAATTAAAATTGTGTATAATAGAATTTCGGCGAATTAAAATTATTATATAGTCATAACATCTTATGGCAAAGATTAACAATTTGACAGTTGTAAAATAAACTATAGAAATAATATCCAAGGAGCACGCGAATGTTGTCTAGTATATATATATATATATATATATATATATAAAATAAATATTTTATTTAAGAAATAAAAGAATTTGATGCTTTACATACACACATAATTTCTTCAATGACTTATAATGAATTATTTAAAAATTATCATTAAATAAAATGTTTATTTTTTTTTTCAGATTTTACGTATTAATAACTATTGAAATAAATTCAATACATAACACAAAGTCGTTATAGATTATCCAAGTTTATAAAAGTTAAGTATCTCATTAAATGTACTAAATTTAAAGTTGATTCCCGAAAACAAAGTTTCGTAAAATAATTTTATTTTATTATACATTTTTTAATTTAATTTTGCAAAAAATTGACCTTTATTTCGATTATATTACAATTTTCAAATATAATAAATATTTTTTATTTATTATACATATTTATATTTATTTATTTACAGAAACAAGTTTAATGATTTACAATATAAGAACTATTCAAATTTATTCAAATTTTATAAAAAAAGAAAAATTATATAATTATATAAATCACAAGAAAGGTTCACGGTTATTTTCCAACGAAAACTTAGTTTTGTTGAAAATGTGCGCAGCAACATCCGCGTATGGCTCTTTACGTCTTTCTTGCGATTTAGATTTATATTTAATATTACAGAGCCGTAATTTAATCTTAGTTGTTTATATAATTATAATTTTTTAATGCGCAAAATTTAATTTAATATTGCATAAAAAATTATTGTCGATTGACTCCGATTTTGACTACACATTTTATTATTATATAATATTCGAATTTTATCTAAAGGGTCCACAAGGAAAGCCTGGTATTCCTGGTCTTCCCGGTGCTGATGGACCTCCTGGTCTTTCGGGCAATCCTGGAATTCCTGGAATGAAAGGCGAACAAGGTCCATTAGGATCACAAGGATCAATAGGCTTTCCGGGTGTACGAGGTGTGAAGGGCGACGAAGGACAGCGTGGTCTGCCTGGTGAACGCGGCGAGAAAGGCGAGAGAGGATTAGAAGGTGAGAAAGGTGATACTGGTGCGAAAGGAGAGCCTGGGGCGACGGGACCTCAAGGAATTCCAGGCCTTGAAGGATTAGAAGGGCCGAAGGGCTTTGAGGGACCTCGCGGTGAAACTGGTTCTGCTGGTCCGTCTGGAGAGAAAGGGAAAATAGGTCCACCAGGATATGTTGGATATCCTGGACAGCTTGGAGAAAAGGGAGACAAAGGACAATTAGGGCCGCAAGGTCCTACTGGCGATAAAGGAGAAAGAGTAATTTTTTAAAGATTCTTAATTTCTTTTTTAAATAAAATATTACATTGCTTTTCTCTTTTTTTTCTCAGGGAAACAATGGAGTGCAAGGAGAACGTGGTGAAACAGGGCCAAGGGTAATTTATTATTAAGGGGATGCCGGAGACGGTCTGTCCTATCGACTGAATGCGAATATTGATTTTGGGATATTTTTTTATTGATTATACAGATTAATAAATTCTTTTTCACGATTAAAGTACTTATAAAAACGGACCGCGTTAGCTATAATTCCATATATAAACTATATAAAAATGAAAAAATTACAGTTTTGTTATTGGCTTATTTTGTGTCAGTTCGTAACAATACTTATTTAATAAAAAAAGTTCTGTTTGTCGGTGCATAAGATATAGCTCGCGCAATAGGGATAACATGAAAGAATATTATTGAACAATTAGAAGTGAGATTATACAAATCTAATAAAAAAGTTATACATAAATTAATAAATTTTTACGCATATGTGGTGCTAAACCTATCGGAATTTGGTCGGTAAAACAGATCGTCTCCGGCATCTTCTTAATATTTATTATTAAAATTTACACATTAAAATTTATTTATACATTATCAAATTCTCTACATAAATAACTTTAGTTAAATTTTGCACAATATTATACAGGGTTTCAGAGGGACACGTGGCAGAAGAGGCGCGGAAGGCTTGCCAGGACCAAAGGGCGACACTGGTCAGCCAGGATCTCCGGGTGTGCCAGGCGAGGTCGGTCCTCCCGGTGTTGAAGGTCCACGTGGATTCGTGGGACCACCTGGTCCACCAGGTCTCGACGGGAAAGATGGCGTACCGGGACCACCCGGTGAACGTGGTCCAATTGGAGAATCCGGGCTCGCAGGATCACCAGGATCCCCTGGTAACATCGGTCCCCAAGGACCAGTCGGAGAACCTGGTCAACCGGGCGAACCTGGGGCACCTGGTAGTCCGGGAGTTCCGGGAGAAATTGGTCCTCCAGGTGAACAAGGAAAAGAAGGATCACTGGGTCCGCCTGGTTTAACAGGGACTAAAGGTCCTCCAGGTCCTAGCGGATTACCAGGATTTCCCGGCGAAAGAGGATTGAACGGTCTGCCAGTTAGTTGTATTAAGACGCTTACGAGATGCAAACTTATTAAAAGATTCTAATATTAAATTTTAATTAATATCTGTAATAAATTATGTAATATAATATTTAATTGTCGCATTAATACATTTTCAAGGGACTGCCTGGTTCGAAAGGAGAAATGGGACCTGTCGGAGCACAGGGACCGTCTGGCGATAAGGGTCTTCAAGGCGATTCTGGTAAAGATGGTGCGCCAGGCCCGGAAGGAAAACAAGGACCGAAAGGAAAGAGAGGACTTGTCGGACTTAAAGGCGAAAAGGTAAGGCTTACATTAAATAATTGGAAATATATAATTATGAATATTTTTTATTTACGATTGATCTAGGGCGATCCTGGATTACCAGGACCTACAGGTCGTGACGGTTTACCAGGTCAACGAGGCTTACCTGGTGTACCTGGACCAGTTGGATCTCCGGGTGAGGATGGTGACAAGGGAAACGTAGGTCCACCCGGTGAGAAAGGATTCAAAGGATCTCAGGGGGAAATGGTAGATATAATTAGATATATATTTGTCATAAATTATTAAAGTAAGCTTCATAGTTATCTAAAACAACTGAAAATGACAATTAAATTCATTTAATCTGGCAATTCTAAACATATAGGGACCTGTGGGTCCGCAAGGGACACAAGGACCACGTGGTGAACCTGGTTTAATTGGTCCACCTGGAGAGAAGGGACCGCCAGGTGAGATTGGACAACAAGGAGCAAAAGGCAAGACTGGTCTAGTCGGAGCGATAGGACCAGCTGGGCCTGTGGGACCGCAAGGTTTACCGGGTCCGCCAGGTGTGAGAGGAGAAGTTGGAGATCCTGGAGCGATTGGTCTCATGGGGCCACCAGGTATTTTAGGAGAACGAGGTTCGAAGGGACCGAGAGGTCTCAAAGGTGTCGAAGGATTACCGGGTTTAGAAGGTCGACAAGGTGAAAAAGGAGACAGTGGAATACCAGGATCTCCTGGAAAACCAGGAGCAGAGGGCAAACTGGTAAGATAAATTGTATGCATTCATAAAATTTGTGAAAATGTTTTATAATTATTTATTTAATTATGTATGCATGTAAACTTCTTAAAATATATTAGTGAGCAAAGAGATAAAAAATTAATAAAATTTTATTTAATATATTCTATAAATTATAATTATAATATTTATACAATTTTAATTTTGGTAATTTTTAGATTTGATGTAAAATAAAAAATAATAAATATAATATTTTTTAATTGTCATAATTGAATAATTTTTTAAAATTAGATGTTTAAGTATTTTATTGCGTCATGTTTGATGCATTCAAGGGAGAAAGAGGTCCTCCAGGACCGAAAGGAGAAGAGGGCAAGGAGGGACCTTCTGGATCTCCTGGACCACGAGGATTAATTGGCTTCGAAGGACCAAAAGGTGATATTGGATTACCTGGCTTTCCCGGTTCACCAGGAGAACCTGGTCTCATAGGTCAGAAGGGTGAGCCTGGAAAGGACGGCGAGGATGGACGAGTAGGCGATCCTGGTGCACCAGGTGAAGCTGGACCACCTGGCAAGGAAGGCTTACCGGGTCCTCCTGGAAATTTGGTATCAAAATTTTAATGTATTTATTTTAGGACAAAATAAGAAGTTTATTTTTCAAAACGAATTTTAGTTAAATTCTTAAGTACAATAAAAGCAAAATTTTTGGAATGTATAAAATATAAAGACTGTAGATACGCTACATTAAAAATATTTATTTGATCGCCGATACAAAAAATTGGAGAACAAGTTTTTCGGTTCATCTTATTCAAAATCTTATCACTTTGTTAATTTTTAATTATTAAATTTTTAAAAATATTCTCCAGATATTATTTTATTAAAAAATGCAATAAGAAAGTTATATAATTAATTCTCAAGAATATATAAAATTAAAAATACACATACATAAAATGACTTAAAGAACGATTTTTTTATTAATCATTTTATATCCTAATAAGCCTTATATTTATTTTATATTTTAATACTCGTTTAATTTCAATTGTTTATTTAATTATTGCTGATTCTAGGGTCCGGAAGGCCCGGCAGGTCTGCAGGGTAATCCAGGATTACCAGGAGACAAAGGAGATATGGGCCCGTTTGGAGTGTCGGGACTTCAAGGACAAATCGGAATCCAAGGACCATCCGGCCTGCCCGGTTTTCCAGGAGAAAGAGGTTTGCCAGGACTAGCCGGGGAAAATGGCCCTCCAGGAATGCCGGGAGCCATTGGTGCCCCTGGGATGGTGGGGCCAGTCGGTCCGAGTGGCCCAAAGGGTGACAAAGGTCGTAGAGGCGTTAAAGGACATCGAGGAGAATTAGGACGCGTTGGGCTCAAGGGCGAGCAAGGAGAGGCGGGAGAAAAAGGCGAACGGGGATCATCTGGACCAGCAGGAGCCAAAGGAAATGTCGGACCTGCGGGTTTAATCGGCTCCAAAGGGGAGCAAGGACCTCCCGGTTTGCCAGGAGAGCCAGGATTGCCCGGAGCTAAAGGAAACTCGGGGAACGACGGAATACACGGTAGTCCAGGTCCACCAGGTCTGCCAGGTCCACCAGGACCTCCTGCCCCACTGATGGAATCCTTTGATGGAGTGATGCTGCCACATCACTCGGCTAAAAGGAAACGCGATGCTTCGAAAGAGGATATGTAAGAATCTTATATGATTTAAGGGGATACTGAACATGACTGTTTTACGGGATTTGAGTTTAAGGGCTTTTCTTTTTATTGGCTACACAAATTGAAAAATCCTTCTCCACAATTAAAATACTCATAATAATAAACAGGAAGCGCTGTAATTTCGTATAAAAAAACAATAAAAGTTAAAAAATTACAGTTTTCTTATCGGCCTCTTGCGTTAGCTCATAACAATACTTATTTAATACAAAAGTTCTGCAGTTTATTTGTGCACAAAATATGGCGCTCCCAACAGGGATGACATGAAAGAATAATACAGAAGTAATAAAAATGAGATTATAAGTCTGTATGAAAAAATTCGTACTTGAATTAATTATGTATGTATATTTGCGTGCGAGATCGATGTCGAATCTAACTTAACTTAAAGTCGATAAAACAGAATAATAGCAGCGTCCCCTTAATCTAGAATTGTCTCGTTTATTTTTAGCGCATTATATATTTTCATTTTATTCTATATTATTTTTTAATTAGATTTGAAAATTGAAAAGTTTTAATTAGCGCAGATATTTAAATCCTAGGATTGCAGAGACGTATTTTTTTTGTTCATATGATTCTTCAATTATTTTTAATCTATATTTAGAAACGAAGAAGAAGCAGATTTGGATCCAAAGTACTTAGACATATATAGATCTATTTTCAATATACGCAAAGAATTAGATCGACGATACAGACCAACTGGTACTAGAAATAATCCGGTAAGAACATGCAGAGATTTGTTTTACGGACATCCTCATTTCAAAGACGGTAAGAGAGATCACCTTCTTTATCTAATTTTTAAGTCGGATATATAGAATTTGAATAGTTTGAAAACGTCTAATCAAATTTTTATTAATTTTATTAATTAAATTTTGTTTTCATTACATGACATCTATATTATAATATATTATTTATAATATAAATATTAAAAAATTATAAGAGACGTTGATTTATATTATTTTATTTGCACAAAGCTCTATTTTTTTATATTTTATTATTATAAAATATTTTATGAAATCCTCAAAAATTGCTGAGTATTTGTTAAAAGTTTGTCACAAATATACATAGGTTGGTACTGGATCGATCCAAATCTGGGCATGCCTGACGACGCTATCTATGTATATTGCAACATCTCGAATATGGGCGAGACCTGTGTATTTCCCGATGTTCATAGTAGTCACATGCCAAATATACCATGGAAGAAGGAAAATAATAAAACTGATTGGTATTCGCGTTTACGCGGAGGATTCAGAGTAAGATAAATATTAATATTTAGCCTAAAAAAATTGTTTCCATAAATGGATGAATGAAAATTCTGAAAGAGTTTTTATCGAAATGTAATTGATCCCTTTTCAGATAACTTACGAAACGATCGGAGTAGTGCAAATGAACGTCCTGCGTCTGCTCAGTCAAGAGGTCTATCAAAACTTTACATACACGTGCGTCAACAGTGTTGCTTGGAACAATAATGAGGATCCAACTCACGGTTACGATCTTTCGTTGCGATTGCTCGGTGATAACGAGGATGAATTCTCGTATAATCTTATCAGACCCCAGATCGTGAAGGACGGCTGCAAAAATCGAAAGGATAAGGCCGAGACCGTGTTCCTGATTCGCACCAAGAAGCCGCAACAGCTGCCCCTGGTTGACTTTTACCCGGTCGACTATGGATCACCCAGGCAGGCCTTTGGTTTTACTATCGGGCCGATGTGTTTCAAGTAAATAAAAAGCATTAAATATAGTTTAATCTTTGAAAGTTATTATCTCTTTTGGTAGATGAATTAGTGCAGAAATATATGTTGTGTGTATACAATAAATATTTCTCTAGCGTCTCCAATCAGAAACAGAAGCTTACTTAATGCATGATTCTTGCTATAAGATATATTTTAAGTTTTTCCTTCTTCAATTTTTTTATAGAAAATACTTTCTACGAGGCAGTAAAATTTATTCACTTTTTTCATCATTTTATATTACTTTATAAATTATGTCTATGCTTTTATGATGATTCATCTTTATTATGATATCCTATTTTTATAGAATAATAGTGGTAAAAAATAAAGAGATAATTATCTTTTTTATTAATTCTTTTCATTTTTTGTATTTAAAAAATATTTTATTTTATTGTATTTTTGTTCCGCATTTTACAGAAATTGATAATTTGCATATTTTTAATTTTATTATAATAAATCATGATTTGTATTTTAACTTTTATTAGATTCTATATTTGACTGCATTTATTAAGTTTTTTTATATGTATTTATATCGCAAAATTAAAAGTGTCGATTGACTCTTTTATGTTTTACTTTAGTGTAAAAATAAATATTATATATATATGTATATATATATATATATATATATATATATATATATATAATTTTATTATATTTATAAATAGAGCACGTATTATTATTTATTATTTGTCTTTTCTTTCTTATTATTTGCTATAAATATATGTTATTGTATGTGTTATTTATTTTATTCCGTTATACAAATTTTTAATTAATTAATGTATTTTAAAATTACGCTTTATCTATAATTTTGATCTTGAGATATATTGCATAGGAATAAAATTCTAAAATTTAGATACTTGTACTTTATAATAAATATTATCAATAATTAATATCAATCATTAATATCATATATAACAAAATATTATTGATAAAATTTAGTAAAAACTCTAAGAGAACAAATACTAATTTAAATTTTAAAATATATTACACAATGTAGAATCTTAAATTGTAAATATACTTAAAAAAAATTAATACATTATTGCTATTAAATATATTTTAGTAAAATCTAAGAAGCTGAATATCGTCAGGTTCCGTGGTGTAGCGGTTATCACGTCTGCTTTACACGCAGAAGGTCGCCAGTTCGATCCCGGCCGGAACCACTTTTTTTTTTTAATCAGTCGTGAGAAGTACTAATAAGAGTCAAGTGCAGATATTAAGCGCAACAAACTTGTTTTTAAATTCTCTTTTAATTACTTTGAATGTTTCGGTTACTTTTTTTGTATTTATATATCAGAGTTTTTTAATTTATTATTATTGTTTTTTTACTTTCCTTAATATACTTTTCCATCTTGTCAAAATTTTTCACATGTTTAAAAAGTATATAATGTGTGTACACAAATATATTTAATATATTATATATATTATTTAACATTATTATAAAAAAATGTGAGGATAAAATGACCATTTAATATATTATAATTACGTAAAATGTTAATCAATTAAAAACTTTAATTTTAAAGTTTATTTATATTTTTAAAACAGATTTTCTATAAATAAAGAATTAATTAAGGATTAAGAAAATAGATAGTAAGTAGTAATGCTCAACTCTTCGAAAATAATTATTAAACATCATTTTCTATATCCATTTCAGTGTGCTCATATATTATTAAATAACATTATTTAATAATTAATAAAATAACTACTTAAATAATTATTTAAATAATTAAGCATTTTTTATGAATATACGAATACGTCTTACTATCTATTTTTCTATAATCTCCTCTTTATATATTTATAAAATCTGGTTTAATTAGAAAAATACAAGAAAATCGATTTCAATATATAATTTTTTAAAGTATTTATTTCTAGAAATTAAATAAAATCAAACTCGTCTCCCCGAGAAAATCGTCACTCTATGTACGAAGTGCTGGTAGTCGATGCCGCTATTTACTCTCAACGAGCGAGAGAGAGCGAGAGTATGAAAAGATCCGAGTGAGAGATGTATAAGGTGGATCGAAGGAATCTGCGAGAAAGGCGAGAGATATGCGTGGGCGAACCGTGAGAAACCGCAGGTGACACCTTGTCATAGCGGTCGGCGGTTCACACTTCGGACTCACACTTATTCGTTCTTTTTCTGGTGACAAGACAATTGAAGTAACGGTGCAGGGCCGCTTTCAGCGCAGAAAAGCTTTTGGTACTCGAAAAATTTCGCAAATATTTTATTTAATATAATATATATTTAATATATAAATATATAAATATATTTAATATATATATAATTTTAAACTGTATTTTAATTTATATTATCTAGATTTTTTATTTATATAATTTATATTTATATAAATATAAATTTAACGTATAAGACGGGCAACAAGAGCCAAATCGCGGATGACAATGCTTTATCCTAACGAAACTAAATAATTTTCCGTTAGAATTAAATACCGGTGCACAAGGCACCAAATTTTACTTGGACACGGCCAAGATTTTTAAAATATGAAATAATCTCATATTTGAGATTTAATTTCAATACCCCCTTTAACCCCCCTACGGAAAATAAATAAATGAATGCATTATATTTATATATATTTTTGAATTATATATTTATAAATTTATATAATGTGTATTTATATATATTTTTAAGTATTTATATGTCGTTTTATATATTTAATATATTTTGTATAATATATTTTAATATATTTAATATATTTAATATATTTTAATATATTTAATATATTTAATATATTTTAATATATTAATTTTATATTAAATCTTTGAAATTAAATCTCAAAATATGAGATTATTTCATATTTAAAATCTTGGCCGTGTCCAAGTAAAAATTTGGTGCCTTGTGCACCGGTATTTAATTCTAACGAAAAATTATTTAGTTTCGTTAGGATAACGCATTGTCATCCGCGATTTGGCTCTTGTTGCCCGTCTTATACGTTAAATTTAATTTTATATATTTAATATATTTTGATATATTTAAAAAACTTTAAAAAATGTATTATATAAAAGATACAAGATACAACAAGATACAAGAAGACATCTATGTAATTGGAAAGAAATTCAGAAATTTTTTTACAGATTTTCTGATGCGTTACATTTTTTCAGAGATACATCAGAATAAAAATTCACAAAATTCTTTTTAATTAAGATATCTCTAAAATATATGTAGGAGATTAAAAAATATTTTTGAAAAATGTCAAGCTTCGACGTTCGCTGACAGCGGTATTTTCTGTCGGAACAAACCGACCGACCCTGCGCGCCTTCCAGGACGAAAGGAGAGCGATAAAAGGTTTCCTTGTTTAACAAAATATCGTCTCCGAGCCATTAGCCCGACCCGTTACCACTTCAGCGCGATTTTCTGCTCCCGCTCCGTCGAGGAGGCACTCGAGGATCTGCGAGAATTCTGCGAGCTATCAAAGGCAGACCTGTCTATCTCCACCCTCTGGGACAACATCGACGTGAAATGGGTGAGTTCCGTGGTTCACTGCACTCGATATAGCGTCACCGTTAATTCGATCTTTAATTTCCATCCAAATATTCACTATTACATCTTTTTTACTTCCTCATAGAGGAAGGCGAACAAAATTTTTTTTCAGATTTCTATACCAATGTGTTTAGAATGTTCCAAAACACATCGAAAAATCACATTTAAAAAAAATGGGTATGTATTATACTTTTATTTACTGTAATTTCTAGAAAAATTCATCAAGTACTTCATATTTTTATAAAATTTTGAATTTTTTTTAGAAATGTCCGTGATTACTCTAACTTTCGTAAATTTTACAATATCTTGATACATTTTTTAATATAAATAGACTATCATCAAAGGATGGTTGGTATTGAATTTGACGAGGTTCGGTGAAAGGGTTCATTTTTTATACTCTAACTTTTGTAAATTTTAAGATATGGGGATAAATTTTTTTACATGTGTGAATAGACTATTATTTAAGAAGGGTTGGTATTGAGTTTGGCGATGATCCGTGAAAGAGTTCATTTTTATAAAATTTAAAATTTTTAAGAAATATGCATTTTCATTTTTCGCAAATTTTGTAATATTGAGAAAATTTTTTTTACATGAATAAAGTATAATTAAAGGATATTTGGTGTTGAATTTAACATGAATCGGTGAATTATAAAATTTTGAATTGTCAAAGAAATAAAAATTTTCAAATTTTATTTCTTTATTCGTACTTATTTTGGAAGATATTCATGAGATCTTGGCCCATAGATGATTAATCTATATCCTTGAATAACAAATTTTATAAATAATTGTGTTAACAATAATTGTGTTAGAGAATTTAATTTTTCTCTCTTAAAAAGATTTTTAGAAAGTATATAGAATTTCTAAAAATCTCCCCACAATCTACATAAAGTTTTTCTTAAAATACATAAGTGCTTGAAAAAAATATTGAAACTTATCTGTTTAATTTCAGATTTTATTACCAAAAAAAAATATTTGTATAAAAGTTTTTAGTTTTAAAAGAAATATTTTTTTTTTAATTTATATATTAATATTTATATATTAATGTTAGCAGAAAATACACCTTTTACCTTTATCTATATAACTCAAAGGATAGGTGTATATGAATAACGCAATGACTTAATACATATATGTTGTACTTTAATGAATGCTTACGGCTATGCGTAATAATAGAAAAGACACAAGGGAAGAAAGAACAAAAATGGACGTTACATCCATATCGATAGTACAATCGATAATAGTTATATCGAGATCTAATGTTCGATACGTCTAATATAATTGCAGTGTGTATCAAACACCTATCAAATCCCCCACTATGATCACTCTGCAATTAGTTGTAATCCCAACTTCTCAATATGTTTATTTATTACAGTATGAGGTAATGGCTTTGTGAAGATGTCTGCCACGTTATCATTAGATGAGATATATTTTAATTCAATTAAACCGTTTTCATGCATTTCTCTAGTAATATGATAAGCAATATCGATATGTTTCGTGCGTGATCTCTCTATTCTATTTCTTGTAAAGTCAATTGCCGATTTATTATCACATCTAATGACATATGGCTTACATGGTATGTCTAAATCAATTGTCTGTGATAATTCATTGAACATCATATCCAACCATATAACTTCTTTTACAGCTATTTCTAACGCAACGTATTCAGCTTCCATAGTAGATGTTGAAATTGACTTTTGTTTGTTCGA